TTTGAGCAGGAACAGTTGAAGTTTAGAGCCAAATGATGCAATTTTATACGTATTGTATTCTCTAGTCGCATTTAACGTTGGATTTACTGGCTTTCTGAACAGAATCCCAATTAAGATGGAAAAGGTCAGTGATCTGACTCCACTCTGAGGTTTCATTTTGTGTTTGTACTCTTGGCTTTATTATCTTTCACAAAGAGCTTAGTTCCAAAGAATGCTTCTCCTTTGCCAAAATTCCACATAATCTTGCCTTCAAGGAAACATGTCCATTTTTAGCAGGGTACGAAAGCCTTTTTTAAAGCAGATTTCTGGTAACAGCAATTTTAGCCCATAAAATGTGACCACAGGTGAATCCTGCTTCAAATTATATTAGCTATATTCCACTCATACACTTACTCGTTCTGAAATTCAATGTTTGTGCTTTCGGGGGAGAATTAGTCATTTGCTCTTTGGAGTTCATGGTATGTCAAGCAGCAAGGGTGTGTACATACATATTAAAGCAAATAATCTGCATCATGCTGATTACTCCTCGCTTGATTTGACAGCAATTGGTTCTTAATTCATGCTGTAGTATTTGTTAAAAAAAAAAAAAGGAAAAAATAGATTTTAAATAAGAAGTCACTACGATGTTCTTCCGAGAAGTTGAGAGAAATCTTTGCGGAACTTTTAGTTTGTAATTTTAGTTCAGTAATTTATACTGTAGCACATTCTGGTTTTCTGGTTGTAGTTGAAGTTATTTTATGCATACAGTAGCAGAAAAATATCACTAAAACAAGTCTTAATTGAAAAGGTATTTTCAATAAAATACCTTAAGTTTTGTTCCTTCACCACTTTCTCTTTTGGAAAAGCATCAGCTACTGCCGTACTACAGGGTAGCATATGTGTAAATATCTAACCAATCACTGGTGGTTTTATTTCTCTCCTGATTTTGTTAGAGCTGTTCCTTTCATTCAGATACTTCTAGGAAGAAGAGGGGGAAGAGGATGGAGTTGTTGAATCATTTCATACAATGACTGCTGCAGTCTCTGCCCCATTTCTGGGTCCATTTAAGGTCCACTTTTTGGAGTAGAGGAGGGTTCCAGAGAAATTGGCCAAAATCAGAAATGTCTCTGAGTCTTGGGGATAGTGTGTTCTGGACTTAGGGAAATTGAAATACTTGTTGGAGGTTTGCAAAGCGGCAAGGCAGCGATTAGGAATGACCAAAAGCAGTTCTTCATTTGCTGATTTGGAATTCACACTGTATTTTATCATATATTGTTTGACTCTATCACTTAGTCTGTGTTTTTCTAGCACTTGGCTTTTCTTATGTTCCTGGCAGACATTCCCTCTTAGCTCCCCATTCAAGCATATGAAATCATGGCTGCTGTGTATGAGTTAGCATTCTCATGGCCATCATCTGGGTAAAAATGCTGCAAGCTTCTTAACCAAGCTTGTAATTGGTTAGACCCGCTTCTAATGATTTAAGAGACTACACTGCAGCATCAAAATTCAGCTTCGATTTAATCTGCTTCCCACCAAATTCCTACTGCTAAACAGAATTGCCAAGTTTTAAAAAATCACTGTAGATTGAGAGAAGTCTGGAAAAACTTAGTTGTTGTGGCTAGCCAGCTTTGGTGTCTCTCTTCTATCATGCAATGAGCTCATTTGTTGTTTAAAAAAATATATTTTCACTTCTTCACACCCAATGTTACTTTGTAGGGAGTTATTTCTATAGAAATTCCAAATCATAGCTGAGAATATATTAAATTCTTGACTAGTTCATGCCTCATGGGCTGCACAATATGTAAACACTAGAATTTAAATGTTCTTTGGTAAAATAAAGTGAAACAAAAAGCACTTGTGAATTCTTATGTTTGTGGTTAAACCCTTTCCAAAACAAAGTTGAAAGAAATTCTTTCTTTGCAACTCTTCTGCCAGAAAATATGGCTCATTACTTGGGAAGCCTGTTTCATTGTTAAAATGGGTAGTATTAAAACAGACTGCCGACACAGCTGTGTGAAGGAGGGCTAAAACCATGTGCTGAAGGATGTTGTTACATGGTGAGATAACTGGTGGAATTCTGTTCCATCCTCCAGAGTCCCTAGGAAAAATGCACCTTATAGTGAACCAGCGTTGAAATTCTTTAAGTAGGTGCTTAAACATCTAGTCAGTGTGGAAGCTAAGTATTCTTTCTGAATTACCTTTGCTTGTTTCTTGATATCTCTGAAATAATTTGCATTCTTCTCCCTTTCTTCTATGGCAACATACAACTGTGCAGTGAAATGTTAATGGCGAGTTCTATATGTCACAGATAATTTCAGTAATTCCAAATACTATGGCTGCACTTACAAGAAACTTTTCAGGGCACATCATTTTTATGTGTTGGGACAATATGTTTGTTTGGAAATGGCTCTTCTGTTACGTATTACAACAGTGTTGGCACAGGAGAGATGTTTGGGAATGTTGCCATTTTGGACATTGCATTGTTGCATAGTTTTAGCGCTATTTACTCTGCTTTGAATTTACTGCAGCTGTACAACATGGAGGAGGGGAGAGCTGGAGTTTGCTGTCATTCTCACTGAAACATTAATAAAAAATATATTATGGAAGTAAAGCAGAAGAAACCCTAGGACAGGCTAGTATATTAAGGGAAATGGCTTGTGCAAAATAAGTGTCCATTGCAGAAATTCTTTTGAAAGCGTATACTGTGTGAAGGAAGCAGGATATAGACAATTGCTTTATTGACTCCTTTACTATCTACAGATTCTTAAGCAGGTTCTGATCAGCCAGGTTCATTTGCTGTTTCCACTTCAGCTGGAGTTTGGTGAGTGCTATAAATCAGCAAAAACAATCCATGCCACTGGAGCAAGGGACTCTGCTGCTTGCACCATTGTTTTTCCCTGGTGTTGGCTTAGGGTTTGTGGGGCTGGGTGCTGAGGGGCTCAGAAAAAAAACCATTGTATTTAATTCTGACAGGATTTCCCACAAACTCTGACAAGGCAAGGGCTTGGGATGAGCAACAGAAGTAAGAAGACTTTGGGTTTGGCAAGTAGCAGGAAGCAGGACCTATCACAGTGGTCTTTCTTTGCATTTGATGCATTTATCTGATGTTTTATCTGGATTGGCATATGGTAAGATTGGGATGTTTATGGAATCTGCCTTTAGCAATTGTAAGAGCAGCTTTTCCTTCACTCTTCAAAGAAAAGAAGAAGTGGAAAAAGAGGTATTTTTCACACAAAGAAAAAATGGGCAAAGATCTCAAATTGTTTCCTGTCATAAGGCAACTAAATAATTCAAGACGTGATGCACAATTAATATTGGTGACTTCTATTATTTTGTAGTTTTGGCTCCCACTGTTGATTTTTCAGAATCAAGTATGGACAAGTTTAAGCTGAGGTCATGTTTGAGTCTGATACAAGCTGGAAAGAAGCACTTGGTGTGATTTTTTTTTTTTTTTTTTTTTTGTTAAATACTCATTGCTGAATGGACAAAGAGTTTTGTTCTGTTCTTTAAGACTGCATTGGAAGTCTTAAAAAAAATAATCTGATGGTTCCTTCATCCTTTATGCTGTTGAGGAAAATTCAAAATTCAAAACAAAGTAGCAGTTAAACTTGGATTATTTGTTTTTTAATCATGTATAACATTGATTCAGGTTATATGGGTTCTTACAATGAATGTCTGCCCTCCCTTAAAAATATTAAGGTGAAGAGTTAGTTTATTAAACAGGAAGTATGTCTGTAGGAACTCCCTGCTGACACAAGCTGTTCTTGATGTGAGCATAACTCTTGTCAGACTTAAGAGCTGGGTGTGTTAGGAAGCAGGAGCTGGCATTATAAGCAAAAGCTTTCTTTAACCTTTAAAAACAAGAGCCCTTTGTAGCTGCATTATTTATCACAATGCAGCTTTTATCATAGAATCATAGAATGGTTAGGGTTAGAAGGGGCCTTAGTCCTTAGCAGTACTCCAGGTGGAGTGTGGACACACAGCTTGGTGTCATTGGCAAACTTGCTCCGGGTGCACTCAGTCCCACTGTCCATGTCACTGATAAAGGCATTACACAGCACCAGTCCCAGTACTGACCCCTGAGGAGCACCACTTGTCATTGGTCTCCAATTGGACATTGGTCCATTGGCCAGAACTCTCTGAGTTGTGAGCCAATTCTTTATCCACTGAGTGTTCCATGCGTGAGTACTTTTGAAGGAGAGTATTACCAATGGGTATTTTATGCAAATAGACTGGTAATTGGAACAGGCTAAGGAAAAATACTGATTCCTCATATACAGAGTTTGGTAGGAGTTTTGGTGAAACTTTTTGTCTTTTGCTGAGTGAGGAATATATGACCACAAAGATAACAATAAACTTTACTGCCAGCAGCAAGCAGAGCATTTCTCTGCAGCTGGGAAGACCCTTTATTGTAAACCATTCTTTTGCCTGGTTGAGATTACAGGCTTGAACTGTATCTCTCTGAAGGAGGGAATGCTTTTCTAGAGTATAGAAGGCTTGTCTGAAGTGTGTGCCTCATGTTTCCCCTGTTGGAACTGTTACACATGAATATACATGTATCTATATGAAGTATGTATTTTAGACTAAAAATCTGTGATTTTCACATAGCATTGAGTACCTTAGTAGAGGGCTGGGAGAAAAGTAGTTTCTGATTCTTTTCATTACAGCACTGGCCACCCAGTGCCAATTCCATTATTTAAAGAGGGTCTTGGTACAGAGATTTGAAGCTGGGCTTTCAGCATCTTAAAGTATCTTCCTATAAGCATAAGGCATTTTGGGATATGGAAGTCTGACTATGAAAGGAGTGTTGCATCAGGCTCTCTTTCTCTCATTGCGGCTGTAAGATTTTAAAAGATGTTGATGTATTTCATGTGTGAGTCACTTCATAACTTTGAAACTCTCGCAGGCAGGACAGCGAAACTAATTCCTGTCCAACTGTGTGACAGTGAATACACAGACAATACTTGTCCTCATGAAGTTTTAAGAGCTTTACTGAATGTTTCTTTTTTCCCTCCCTTCAGATTTGTCACGGAACAGACTGTCAGAGCTTCCAGCAGAAGCATGTCACTTTGTCTCCCTCGAGAGTCTCAATTTGTACCAGAACTGCATTCGATACATCCCAGAGGCTATTTTGAACTTACAGTCTTTAACATTTCTAAATATCAGGTAACAATTGTCTTAGAAATTTTGCTTTAGCATCAGTAGTCTAGGTTTATAAATTTTAATGCATCTGTAAGTAGTGCTAACATGGTGTGTGATCATGACATTGTTTTATTTTATGTCATTGGATCAAAGCACCTGAACCAGTCTTACCCACTCAGGTGGATCAGGAACATGAGGATTAACTAGCAGCTTGTGGAACTGAGTATGACGAAGAAAGCTAATTCTGGCTTAAAGGAATAGCCAAACGAATTCCAGTAGTTTTCATGTGAAATACAGGCATGCAGACTGGAAAGAGATGATAGAGCTTTTAGACAGTCTTTACATTTCAGCTCTCAGTAGCTGAGCAAGGCTCATGCAGTTTTCCTTTACTTTTCACTGCATTGATAGTTTTTAAAGATCTTTCTTAAGCGTTAATATGACTCTGGCAGCATTGCCAAAAAGCTAATTGGTGCAAAAGCTAATCAGTGCAACTCAGGCTGTTGATTTAATTTAACTGTGTACAGCATCCTCCGTTTGTAGAAGGCCTTTTAAGAGGCATGGAAAGTGCCTCATCACAAATTGGCAGTGATATCAATCAGGAAAAACGTCAGGCTATTTTTTTCTGTTGCTATACTTTTGCCAATTTAGTATACTTTCTTTATTTTCTTTATTGATGGTGAGAATTGTATGAATAGGATATGAATCATGTATGGGTTTCCTATTGCTATGATCTCTAGTAGGTGAGGTCCAATTATTATCCTTTTAAAAGTTGCTGTTGGTTCACCTACTACTGCTCAGAACTTTTTTTCTTTAATAGCAGGGAAATCTTGATTTCAGGTGTGAAAAAATACAGCATATTTTGCTAAATGTGATCAAAGCCTTAATTAAGATCCTAATAAAATTCTTTCTAATCATCCAGTCACTGCTCCTTTCTATGTTTTATTTTTAAAGGGAATCTTTGTCTTTTACAGCCCATTCTCATCCTTCCTGTTTCTCATCTGAGGTTACAGTCCAGTCATATGACCTCATATTTGCTTTAATAGTAATTTATTGTGAAATGTTCAAGGCTGCATTTTGTAATAGTGAAATCCAGCACACCATGATTTTTGATCCACATGACTTGCTCAATTAGAAATATACTTTAAATATTCAGTAAGTACTGACTTTCTCTGTGGCATTTTGTATGTGCCCACCTGCAGTACTACCTATCTGAAAGGCTTTTGCACTCTGTTTGTAGTCATTTGTGACAGAGGGTGGCCCCTCATCAGAAGCACTTGAAATAACATATTCCCCAGCACATAGGTTCAGAAACATCTGATCAGGTTTGGTACTTGATACTCAGAGTTTGTTCACATGTAACTGAATAAAGCAAGTAATGAAGAATGACTTACTGGAACTACTTTTACAGTAATTAGATGATCAACTCAGATTTTACATAATTGTAATGTGCTTCTTGTATGTGTCTTTCGTTTCATTAGAATGTGAGTTCATTAGAGTTCTGATGATTTTGTTTTCTTTCTGTCCAAAAAGTCGAAACCAGCTTTCCACATTGCCAGTACACCTCTGTAGTCTACCGCTAAAAGTCTTGATAGCAAGTAATAATAAGTTGGTTTCAATACCTGAAGAAATTGGACAGCTCAGACAGCTGACAGAGCTTGTGAGTATGCAGTTACTTTTTAACTATTACTATTCTGTCCTGAATTTGTAAGTGATGTGTTTAATAGGTTCAGACGTGCCTCAGAAGAAATAACTTCTTTTAAACTGGTCAAAATAATGCAGTAACTAGGATGCTGTCTGGGCATGTACAAGGTCAACATCCTGTTTCTCATTCTGCTGAGAACTTTGTGATTCTAAACCAGTCACTTGCATGCAGTCGTAAGTTACTTACATCTGCTCTTAGCCTAAGGAGGATTTATGTCTCCTGTAGTATCTCCAACTATGCTTTGACTTTGGATAGAGTTTGAAATACTCTGACGTCTTAAAAAAAATTATATGAGGGAGAGATGCCTTGCACTGGAGAGCAAATGATCCATGTCAATTTAACTAAAAGTCTTCCTTAATTTTTAAAGGAAGGCTGGATGGAATTAGAGCTCTTCATGCATTTGTTTCTGGCATAAAGCTTTTATGTAGCAAGTTGTGCTCTCTCAGATAATATGGAATAACTTGAATGCGATAACTTAAAATAACCCTCTACATCTGAATGGTTAAATCTTTGTAAAACTTTTATTTCCCCATGTATTTAAAATGAGAATAATGCTTCATATCAGCAATGAGATTAAGGAATATAGAGATCTGACATGTTATGTAAATAGTTGTCTTTTTCAGTCCTTAAATAAAGTGCTACATATTTTACTTAACAGAAGGCTACCAGTCAGTGATAACTCATTCTTTACTCTTGTTTTCTAGGATGTGAGCTGTAATGAAATACAGACAATACCTCCACAGATTGGAAATTTGGAATCCTTACGGGACCTAAATGTCAGAAGAAATAATTTGGTGCGTTTACCTGAAGGTGAGATAAAGGCTGTCAGTTGTAACAGCAGAAACCTAAAGCACTTCTGTATTTTCGATGCTGTTTTCTTCCCGTGGGAGCTAGAAGCAGCATGTTTAATTATTTTGTAAAACACACAGTTTTATACTTTTGATTTTTTTTAATACTTTTTTTAGTCTGCTGAATTCTGTGTTTATTTTCTGTCTCCAGAGCTTGCTGAGTTGCCTTTGATCCGATTAGATTTCTCCTGCAATAAGATAACAACAATACCAGTTTGTTATAGGAACCTCAGACATCTGCAGACCATCATGTTGGAGAACAATCCTCTCCAGTCACCCCCTGCACAGGTAAACCGCAGCTAGGAATCCAGAAGGACTAGTTCAACTATAAAGAGCAGAACAAAGTTGGATGCTGAAGGATTATATTATGAGCTTTATTTAAGAACAAGAGGACTTCAAATAAATTGTATTAACTAATAGTGTTAAATACGCAGCACAGCTTGAGAAGTCCCTTTTCTTCTTTTACTTTACTGTATTAGTAGTCTCATTGATGGGATATTACTAAGAATTCCCCTGTTAGCATTGTACTGCTGTTAATGTTAGCAGAACACTTCTGCTTTTGGTGTAAGAGAGAGGAAGCTCTGTTAAGCAAGACTGATTTTGTGCCACTCAAATGTCAAAATTTTGACTGAGGCCTCAGTGCTGCTGTGTGCTGGTTCACTTTGCAGCAGAGTGCTCAAATTAGAAGCTGCAATATGGTTAGTGACTAATTTGATTTTTTTAATGTGGTATATAAGCCCCTGAGTATTACAGGTTCTACTGTGAGCTGCTGCTTCTGAGTCAGGAGGGCACTTGCTAAGACCTGTAGGAAGTAGGTTTTTGCCTCCCTTTTGAAAGCAAAACCAGCTGTTACTGGCTTCATTCACTTTAAATTTGAGCTTGCTTTGGCAGACTGCTGCTGCCATTCAGAGCTGGGCATGGGTGCAATGTGCCGTTCTAATGCCAAGGATATAAATTCTAGTACTTGTAAATACTTATGTGTTGTTTGCATGTTGAAATTTCAGCATCCAGCTGACACAGTTGCATGCAGACCAGATGTACTTGGAGGGTAGCTTCCATTCGTCTGTTGTGTGCATCCTGTCATGCTCCACTGTAGCTGTTTCTCTAAAATGCAGTGAGATTGTAAGAAAAGATATGTTGGTTGATGTAAATGTGCTCATTTATTCTTCTCAACTACAGGTTAAATGCCTGTAGAGTACTTTCAAAATGTATTGTCAGATTATACCTATGTAATTTATTCCTTTTTTTTTTCTTTTTTTAGATATGTATAAAAGGAAAAATCCACATATTTAAATACCTGAACATAGAAGCATGCAAGATAGCTCCAGACTTGCCTGATTATGATAGGAGACCCATGGGATTTGGATCTTGGTAAGTCTGGCACAATCCAAGTTCTTAGTTTTGACATTCAGGAAAAATTTTTCAGTTGCCTTGAGTTTTTAAAGAAACTAGAGCCAAGGATCATTCTTCAGTAAGTGCATTGATGGATGTGGCTTTGAAGAATGTAATTTATATTATCTCATGGTGCACTTTAAGAATTGGTGCATGCTCTTGTGTTGTTAACACGTGTTCAGTTTACAAGATCTTAATATTTTCCACATACTTCCTGAAGTACATCCTTGCTGTGATTTTGAGCCTTTTGTACAGAATTTTATAACTGCTGTGCTCAAACCACAGGTGTAAATGCTGATCTCCACCCTATTAGTATACTGCTATTTTTGGCAAGCTTTCACTTGGCACTATTGCTTAGAATTGTAACACAAATGTTGGAACAGTCAGTTTTATCTGCTGCTAGATTAAGATGTCTAGAGAAAAGCAGGAGTTAAGATTTATTTCTGTTATATGATATAGAAGAAAGGGAGTCTGTGAAGTATGAAACTAAATATATAGAAACATTACCTCAATCATCTTGGAAGGTCGTAATAAGGTGTGGAGGAGTGAGTTGCCTGGAAAGGATGTACTGCTGTTTTAGCAGCAATAAAACAGAAATCAGCGCATGTTACAATAAATCATGAGAAAGATTTGTGAAGAGGGATTTGCACAAGGGACTGATGAGTGATTCCTCATCAGCACAGAGTATCTTAAATTATTAATTTTTTAGGTGAGGTCAACATATAAGCATTTTGACTGTTACTCGGTTTCCTAGAGTATAAGCTGTTGCAGATGTTTTCTGCATAATACTGAGGATTCTGCCATGTTACTAAACCATGGTATTTTATCTAAATGATAAAGTGTCATGATCTGTTTATCTCTAGCATAGTTTGTGTATTTTTTAAGAGAAATTCTAAAGATATCAGTGGACTATGTGGTTACTGATTTATTGTTGGTTTTAGTTGTATATCACTATGGAAATTTTCATTAATTGCTTTTGTGCAATTAGAAGAATTAATGTATTATAATCATAACTTGGAATTATGAATGTAAAAACAAGTGCAGAGCTATTTGCATATGCTTTCTTTGGATTTGCCTCCAGATTCAAGCATATGAAATGAGTTTCAGCTGGCATTCCTTTAGCTGTATTTCCATCCCCAATAGGATATAAGAGTTGGTGGTAGAATTATTTGTCATTACCATGCTGTTCAGGGCATTTAGTTTTACAGGGGATTATTCCTGTCTTCATGTACCTACTCTCAACTGTCCACGGTTAAGAGTATATATTAGGAGGCAACGGTAGAATGATCTAGTGGAAGAGAGGATCTCAAATTACTATATTCTTCTGGAACTTGGGGTGAGAGAAATAAAAGCATTCTGCTACAATATAGTTAATATTTCCAGGCAAGTCATAAGAGCTTTATGTTTGTTATCTTCAAAGGTGGCCAATAGAACAAAGGTATCAGTCTGTACACCTAGACTTTGTTGCTGTTTTTATCTGATAAGCTAGGTGAAATACCATGGATATGAAGGTTAAGGATCTGAAACTGAGTGGTTGAGATTTTTAAAAGTTTAAGAAAGTTTGAGTCATACTGTCAGATCACTCTTCATCAAACATTGTTTAATAATAAAGTTGTTAATACTGCTAATAAAACAAGATGCTCTGAAACATTAGGGTAGAAAGTGGGATTTCGAAGTCGTAGTGCAGCTGATTATCAAACTGTTTTACCAGAGTGAAATTTTGTATGTTACAGTCCTTTTCTAAACATAAGATATATGAAATTTGTGTTGCAGCAAGTTTCTATCTGCTGCAGCCGGTCCCTCATTTGTAAGATTAAAGTTCAGAGCAGCTCAGGTTGGTGCTGGAATGAATGTGATTGAGAGGAGGCAGAACTGTCCAAGCTGTGTAGCAGTTCTTTTGGCACTGTGGCAGACTGGTACAGGCTGGAGTTAGAAGGTTTAAAATGTGAAGTACTCACGCATGAACCAGTGTCTTGGATATTCTGGGACTTGGAGAACTGTTCTTTCTTAAAAATACATGTTTTAATGTGGCTTTGGAGTGGTGTCTTTGAAGTGTTGGCAAGTATTGTCTTTGGCTGTTGGCTTTACCAGGCAGTTAGCTTCTCACGCTTTGATTTCAAGCCTTACATGGCCTTCTTACATAGCCTTCTGGGTTACTTGCCCCAAAATGCTCTGATCTGTCCAAATGCTTAGTCATTGTTCCTTGTAGCTTGTTGGTCAGAGAGGAATAAAAATCATAAGTCTCAACTGATTTCAGGATGGCTGCGGTATGATTATAAACATGTAAAGTGTGCAGCATTGGGTGTGCAGCTGTTTTTAGATGTGAAAGTTAGAGAGACAGCAGCTTTCATGTTAAAAAGGAAGAAAGTCCTAGGAACAGTGATTATGAATTCTTGAGCTTCCTGGTAGCCCTCACTGTTAGATGTAGAGCTTTTCAAAATCTCTAATTGAAAAGGAAGGCTAAAAGAAGAAAATTTGTATCAAAATACTTTCTCATTTTTGAAATGTAGCCAAATAGTCATTTTGATGCTCTTCAATTTGCAGTGATTGTTCAACCTTACAACAGGGTACTTGGGAGATTCTGAAAATATTGATGTATTTATAATGGAATTACACTGCAGATGGATTTTTCTTTGACCCATGTTTTAAAGACACCATTTAAGTACTGACAACTGTTCACATAAATATAGTTCAGTTGTCAGTTATTCAAGTAAATCTTTCTTTAACTGCATGGGTGATTTTATGGTCATTCTTTTCGCTTCCCCACACAAAAGAAGGAAGTTGTTTTTTCTTTCCCCCTTTTTCTTTATAGGGGTTTATTATGCAAATGATCTTTCTGATCAAATGCAGGGCCACAAAGGTGAACTCTTTTTATTTAAACAAAACTCCATGCCTATACAGGTTTGGTTTTTGGTGTATATCATCATGGAAGTAGATGTATAGCTTAACTTTGTCATCCCTCCTCTTACTTTTTTGCTATTTTATGTTTATTTGAAAATTCAAATAGCTCAGGATAATCGTCTGTTGCTATTATACAAAGTCCCATGCACACATACAGTACTGCATTAATAATAATAACAACAGTAATGATTCATTTGAAAATAAGTGTTTCCTGAAAGAGGAATTTCAGAGGGAGCGACAACTTGAGAGCAATAACGGAGAGAAAATGACCTGCAATTTAGTTATGATGGGGTGAAGCAATTAGCTTCCTGAAATTTGTTCTTCCTTGTGTATTGTATAGTAATTATTGCTGCAGCTCTCCCTGAGGCATCCAGTGCCAGTAGGACAGTTGAGCCATTGTGAAATGCCATCTGCAGTGGATCAGACAAGTCCCATTGTCTCTTTTACTGTAGCTATCTGCAGCAGTTGCCAGACTTGACATCTGTGATGGCTGTACTGATGAATTAAGTAGTTTCTAAGCCCAGAAGTTGAGAACTGCATGGCTGTTTGGTTATGTGTATTGTTACACTAGACACATGTCTGATGCCTTTGTCTAGTCAGAGTCGGGCTCTGTGGATGAAAACTGCACTTCTATATTATATTACAAAGCATCTGAAATACTGTTGAGATTGGTACAGTTTCTTAGGTCGGTTATTATGATACAGGAGATAATTATGTAATGCATTCTGTGCACTTTTGTGTAGAAGTAGTATGTTCTGAATTTTTAGTAATTTTGCATGTGATTTAATTTTTAGTAATTTATACTTTTGAAAAAGTTTGTGGGACAGTGTTTTATCAGTGAAAACATGAAAAAATAAAAACTTGAGTTGTTAAATAAGTGAAATAAGATGCCACTTTGAAGTTTTCTTTGTCATAATTTCTGCTTGGGAAATGCTTAAAGTATGGATCTCTTGGATCAGATTAGCTCTTAAAACGCTAGGCAGTGGCAGGTGGACAAGTTTGAAGTATGTTTGCAGCTGTGTGTACGTGCCCTCTTGTTCTAAGTGGCAAATGCGCTATGATGCTTTCTAATATGCTGAGCTTCTGAACACACTGCAACTGCTTTGTAGCTCATTCTGCTTTGATTCTGCAGTAGCTGAGTTTTTAGTGGTGTTTATATTATAGTAACCAAAACTGTGTGTTTAACAGCCATGAGGAACTCTATTCCGGTCGTCCATATGGAGCACTTGATTCTGGCTTCAATAGTGTGGACAGCGGAGACAAAAGATGGTCAGGGAATGAAGTAAGTTGCAGCTTTATTTTTGTCTGGTGCAGTATTGTATAGGAAAGAAAACTGTTAAGTATACATATGGAAGCATATTCAATATGTAATGTATATGCTAGTGTGCAGGTGCCCTTGAGCCAAAAATATTTGTTGTTTTATTGGAGAAAAACAAGTGTAATTTTATATGGGACAAACACAAAGTTGGAAATAATAAGAGAAATGTATAAAACTGCATGACAAATTAATTTACTGGGGTACAAAACATGAGAAAAATGGGAGGCCTCATTTTAAAAAAGCTTATAACTGTATCATATTACAATGTTGAGTCAACTACAATTACTTATGAGGAGTTGTTTCAATAAAATAAATCTGAACATGAAAATCAAGCTTCCAAAATCAGATGGAAATTTTTTCTTCTTTCTTTGAAGCTTGTTTCAAATGTTAAAATCCGTTTGCCATTTAGAAGCAGGAAAATGGTGTCTCTTAGCAAGGCGACTGTCAATTACTTTTCCCAGAGAAAAGCTCCCTTTTTCTCCTGAGACAACTAGAAAAGGCAGTAGCCAAGACCTTAAGAGCTTCAGTGAGATATACTCTGTACAGCTGCTTGCACTCCTAGCTTGGTTTTTGAGAGGGTTCTAGGAGTTTCCATCCTGGAACGTTTTCAGACACTTACAGATACAAAAAAACAACCACAAACAAAACAAACAAAAAAAAAACACCAAGCCAAAAAACCCACAACTCCATAGGCAAGCTGTTTGTATTTTTGGATTTTTTGGGGTTGTTTTGGTGTTGTTTTTTTTTAATTTTGGCTGGGGTTGGGGGGGGGGGGGGGGGGGGGGGCGTGATGTTTGGGTTTCTTTGTTTGTTTGGGGTTTTTTAAGAAAATTTAAATATGTGGTTGAAAACACTACAGCTGTATTTTGTAGGTGCCATTCAGGACAGTTGAAGTAAAAACGCAAATTGAGAAGTAACAGTTGCAAGATGATGTTTCTGAAGAAAAGTGTTTCTTGACTTCACTGTTTGTTTTCTGAAGCCAACAGATGAATTCTCGGATCTCCCTTTGCGTGTGGCAGAGATCACTAAAGAACAGAGGCTGCGAAGAGAAAGTCAGTATCAAGAAAACCGAGGCAGCACAGTTGTCACTAATGGTGGAGGTAAATAGTGATTTTGGTTGACACTATTTATTGTCATCATTATGAAAGCTCCAGGATATTTGCTATAAATAGTAGGTTGTCTAAAGAGGAAAAAAATTAAAAAATCCAGGTGTAATTTTATACAACCACTGCTGTGTAAACAGAAAAACACTTGTATTAAGGTTGCTATGAGGCAAAATCAAATAGAATCAGAATTAGGATTGTGTCAGCTTCTGCTTATGTGCTGTGTAAAGTCTCCAGTTGCTTCGGACAGTGTTCTGGAATGGAGTTCTGCTGCTTGAGCTACTGGGGAAAATTTACAGTAGGAGTAAATTGTCGGGGCTTCACGCTGACTGCTGTCGGAAGGGAGTCAGCAATTTTGTCAGGGAATGCCAAATTTCCAAGTAGCAAAAGTGCCTCATTCAGCAGTCTCAGGTTTTAATCCAAGCACACAAGGCATCTGTGGGGGACTGGTATTTCTTAGTGATGTTGCTTTTTTGCACTTTCTTAATTGGTTGCGCTGCAGTCTTACAGTAGCGCACTCATATTTGTTAAAGAGGTGACAGCACTTTACATGTTTCTTGATCTCTGCAGTCCTTCTCCCTTTTAACTTCCAATAATCTGCTGCTACCACTGTCTTGTTTTGATTATATGTCTCAGTTTTAGTATTCTTCCAGGTTTTGGTGTTTGTTTGGTTTTTTTTTTTTTGGGGGGGGGGGAATGTTCCCAGTAATTCCGTCTTCCCTATTTTCCTGCACTACTTATTGTTAGATCTCATCCCATATATCTTGATTAATTTTATTTCTTTCTTAGCTGCTCCCTGCTTTCCATTTCCCCTAATGGTTACAATTCATATTCCCCATATGAGTGGCACTCTTGCCAACTACTTTTAATCTTCTGTGCCCAGCTCCCATTTTTTCTTCTCTCTTCTCCTCCTCGTCGTCTTTTGCCATCTTCTTTTCTTGGTCTTACTCTTCTCCACAGTACTTTGGGGTTTTGCCATCTGCTAGAAATACCTGCATTATTTTAGTTGACTCACACTCTTTCACATGATGACAGACAATAAATACCAATTCAAACACTTAGATTCTATCAAAGTTAGAAGAATTGAAGACATGGCATCATGAGAAGCTCTGGGCAGCCTTAACAACAGGTAGTACTGCCAGCTCTGCCTCCAAGACTAACTTTATTTTGTAAACCAGGGATTTCAAAATGTCTCACTAGTCTTTTAAGATGGAGCAGGATCAGTTCATGATTAGGAGTATTTGAGAGTGGCACAAGCTGTAGCCCATAGCTGTCAGTGATCCAGGGGGTGCTTTCCAATTTTGTGTTTCTAACACAGACACTAGTGTCTTTCACCTTTTACTGTAGTGTTATCATTATTTAAGTTTAATAAGCAAGGCTGGAAAGAAGGGCTTTTTTGTTTTGGCTTTTTCTTGGGGATTTTTTTATGGTTTGAAACTGTCATGGAGACTTAATGAAGCCAAAGTATATACGAATGCTGTTCTGGAGGGTTGTAGCAGAGGAGGTGGCTTCGTCAGTAACAGTTGCTAGATTGTGTGGTGAGGCAAAGAGAAGTCTGTTTTAGACAAGCAGGAAAGGGGCGGGGGAGTAGAAAAAGAATGTGTGCAAGAGAGTTTAGAGTTTGGGGAGAGTTTTAAGAGAAAGAAAACTCTAGTACTCAGAAAGGGAGCTCATGCCTTGTGCTGCATCCCCAGCACAGTATTTTTCACAAGGGTAGTTTACTCAGTGTCAGTACTCTCAGGATCCCTGGGCAGAATGTATAAAGGCAGTGACAAGTGAAAAAATTGCCCTACATAATATCACCCACACAAGGGAAAATCAATACTAGCCAAGCTGTGCTGTTTCTTGCTCTCATTTCAGTGGTTCCTAATCCCTTTTCCATTCCTTCTTTTAAAATAAAACTGTAGATGATTTTATGTTGGTTTATAAGGATTTTGTTGCTTTCTGTGTTGTCCTTCGTTATTTCCACACATACTTCTTATGTTTAGTGGATTTGTATCTAGGTAACAGACACTCTGCCTTCTATGTTCTTGTTGTTGTTGTAAAATTAATAGAAGTATGTCATATCCATTCTCATTTCTGTGACAGAGATGAATTAGAACCAAGAGAAATGATTCAATGTGTACACAAATCATTGTACAGTCTTGGTGTCAGCTGGCAGATTCTGATAGATAGTTTTGGGTATTGAAAAAAAATCACTACTTGCTTTACTTCTTCAGTCACTGCGAAAGTATCCGCTGCCATAAAACTACATGCTTGATACACGGTTCTCATTGCTCTTTAAAAAGCATAAATTTTCTCATTATTTCAGAATTTGATGTTTAAGAAATGTTAGTGGACTTGGCAAAGTCCAGGAGCTTTTAGGCTGAGTTTTCCCAGACGGAAGAAAAACAGTAGGGCCTTAGTTCCTGGCATTGCTTTTTTGTTGGTGTTTTTCCCCTCTCCTGTTGCTTATCTAATTGTGGATGTTTTCTTTGTGTATGTGTGTCAAGTGGAGCATGATCTCGATCAGATCGACTATATTGACAGCTGTGCCACAGAAGAGGAGGAGGAAGAGGTGAGGCAACCCAAGTGCATGGACTCAGACAGCCTCAGCTCACAATTCATGGCATATATTGACCAGCGGCGAATCTCTAATGAGGTGGTGCTTTTACTTAAATTAGTTAAATTCATATGCCCCAGGAAAGTCTCTGTGATGGTATTAATGCTTCTTGTCCTTAGAGGTTTTCTTAAGGTTGTTTGTTTGTTTGCTTTTATTTATTTAAATAATAAAATCTGGTCTGATCTGGAGGAAGAGCACAGCATTGGGCTTTGTGGAAGGTCAGAGCTGGAGTTTTAAGCTGCTCCCAAGTGCCTTTTGGGATATGTGGGATAAGTCCAATGCAGCCATACTGTTTTTCTGTCATGTGGATTGAGGAAATCATAGAATGGTTTGGGTTAGTAGGGTCCTTAAAGATCATCTAGTTCCAACCCTCCTGCCATGGGCAGTGACCCCTTCCACTAGGCTTGCTTTTTGCAAGCTTATGCTTTAGGCATATGTGAAGTAAGTGTTTTTTACAAAGGAGTGCTGTCTTCAAAAAACAAGTTGATACTTCCAGATGGTAATTTATGAGATCTAGAAAACTGTGAACATTTACTTGGTAGTACTGAATATATACTGGCTTTCTCAGGGGGAAATGTTAATTGTTACCAGCCTAAATATTTAATACAGGAATTTTGCAATTCCATTTATTTGGCTGTTCAAGTTGATTGTAAGTTACTTGCCAGTAAACTCGGTGTCTTGAGCATCCTGTTTAAGTTTAGACTAACTTAAATATTCAGACTTTTCAGAAAGCCTACTCTTTGCAGAAAACAATTTCTTTCTCACTTTACTATTGAGGAAAGCTCTGAACCACAGATACGGATTTGGTTACATGTGTGGTCGCCTTTCTGAACAAAAACCAGCATCTGTAGTTTTAGATAAACCTGGCACGAAAGTGTTTTCAGTCAGTGAAAGTATACAGGTGAATGAACAATAAGTAAAATTATTGCTAGATAGGTTTGAAAGTTCTCCAGCCAGCTTTTTAGAAATTTCTGGAAACAGCTGTGAGCAACTCTGAACACTGCCCTGGTTTCTCTCACAGACAAAAAAATACAACTAATAATAATAGTAATTTTAAAAAGAAAGGGCAAACTTAGCATATACTGTCCTAATAGCAGCTGGTTTTATTGATTTCTTACTCTATCCAAATGATCTCCTGGCACAGACAGGGGCAATGATTCCAGTAAGGTTTCTTTAGCTCAGGTCTTTTACTGCTTTTTAGCTGCACAAGAATTGGTGCATACTATAATGAAATTCACTGGGATTGCTTTAAAACTCTATGAATTGCCAAAACTGGGAAGTGCCTTTGTTCTAGTTGTAGCAGCCCCTGCTGTGAAACACATAGAGAAAACTGTTCCCTGTAAGTCATTTGGATGGTACATTTCTGGAGACTGTCCTCAGAAATCTAACCAATAGGAACATTGGTTCATGTAGGAGTTTGGTCCCCAGTTTGCCCACTTTATATTACTGTTTGCTGTGTTCAGAATCCGTGACAGAGATTCGAGAGGCGCATGCATTTTGCAAATCTCATAAATCCAGTATCAGATCACGAAAGCTGATGTCATTTGAAGCATAGACATAAAAGCAAAACTCAGAAAAAAGCAACCATTGGCAATGCAACCCAAGGACTCCTTGCTGTGGATAGGGAAAAGGCATTGTTAATATCAAAAAGCTGTCCATATTTTTTCATAAAAATTTAATCGTTTGCTTTTAACTGAAGTCGTTTCTCTTAGACAATCCAAAATACTACTTAGGAAAACAAGCTGTATGCAATATAACAACATGCATACAAGAAGCATGACTGGAAATTGGCAAGCTAATGTTGAAGAGTTTCCATTTTCCTACATTAATGGGTATCAGCAGACGTTTTAAGATAAAATTCCCAATGGGTTAAATGATTTCATAGCTCAGATGAAGCTTGATGCGTTCTCACTCTTCCCATGTTTTGCTTTCTTAGTCCCTCTGTGATGTGTCTTTAGGGCATCCTAAAAGACCATCAGCTATTGTAGCCTGTATTTCTGAGAATCCAGACTGCATTGCTGTACACTGGGATATATGTTTTTCGGACTTAATGCTACATTTCTTCTAAGTGACATGAATTATTTTCTACCTACATGTACTTTCCTTCACAATTCTTAATAGTGTAGGTTTTTAAACTCTTGAATTTATTTAAAAGCATTTAAATTGGAGGAAAAAATAAAAGCGAGCTTGCCTAGCTGGAAATGAACGTCCCCGAGTTGTGATTTGTGGTTCTTTGTCAAGTATTTTGAATACAAGTAATTACAGATGTTGCTCTACAAAGAGTTTCTTTGACATTAATGTACAGTTTTCTGAACAACTTGCTAACTTAGTCTTTGTTATTTTGCTTAGGGCTCACCAGTAAAGCCTGTATCCATCAGAGAATGTCAGAGAACAGAGGATACAAGACGATACTTACATCAAAACAGGTAAGAATATGTGGTAACAGTAATTCTATCCAGAGTTTTATGATGAATGCAGAGTGCATATTTACTGAATGTGTTTTAAAAATGGCACTGTTGTCTGATGCTTCACCAGAAACATGCATTGCACTTGACTTGTAAATTATTGCTCCAGATTAGGAATTTGTATTCTAATAATGGCAGTGACCAAAAGGCACGGCTGTTCTAGACCAGTGCTCAGCTTTGAATCAGTTGGTTAAAGAAGTCTGCCATATTAAAGTGTATACTTTTAAACTGATTTAGTATCTGCATTTCATGATTTAATTTGTGCTTCAGTTAAATAGCTGACTTTGATTAAATAGCTGACTATATTGGACAGAAGGAGTAAACAAACTTGTATTGCAGGTTTAGGGGAAGCACAAAGAGAGTTACTATGGAGCATCCGATGTGCTACCTGGTTGACTCTAGGTAGCTGTAGTACTGTAGGGGTTTAATTTAATTTAAAATGTGCTTTTATGTGTCATAATCATGAGCTTACGTCAGGGGAAGAAGGGATAGGATGGGAGTCAATGCTGAAAACAGGTTGTTTAGTTTCATAAAGCAGACTTTTTGAATGACGTTCACACTCTAGTGACTATTGGCTTATTGGAGGGAATGCTTATCTGTAAAAACTGGTCAGAGTTGAACAGAGTATAAGTGAGGTGATTGGGTTTGATAAAAGACATTTGGGTGTCTAGTTAAGAGAATAGAAGATAAGTGAATGTTTAGCTTCTTACTAATGGAGCTTGAATAAAAATTGTTGGAACCCTTCATATTTCAGTATTCTGTGGGGTGAATGTGAATGTGCAAAGACACAGCAGAACGCCAGCTCAGTTGTACTAGGAATGTTAGGAACTGCTAGCTATAATTATGTCATTACTTATGCTGACAGTGGAAATTAATTTTTAATGGCATACTAAAATGGCATTGAAAGAGAAAATAAAATCAAGAATAGTGTGTGCATTTTTCCAGAGTCATGGCAACATTTTAATAAGCATTTTGAAATATCAGCAGATGTGCAGGTAAGGTAGCTGTCTTGATTCAGAGGAGGGTAACTCCTTCAGCATATATCAGCATTCCTTATCCTGTAGTGTCTACAGGTAAGGCATAAAATAATGCAGCAGTCTGATATGTCCTCCCCAAATAAAGTGAGTGCTCTTGGTTTGAAAGACTGATTTTGTTGCTTGTTTGTTTATTTACATTCTTATTTGTACATTTGTGGTCAACATGGAAATATTTAGACTTTACAAACACTGGATTCTATGATGCATCTGAAGGAAGTAAAAGAAGGCTCATTAGCTTGGAGAGAGCTGATGTTTACATAGACGTATTTTAAAGATAAAGGAAATTGTGCTTCAGGATGGTATCCAGTGTTTTCAAAATTTAACTTAAGGGTGGCAGCAGATCTTCATGCAGAAGCAGTTAATGTACGATCTAGATGAATTGTAGTTTATTCATATTATGCTGCAGCAGAGTGAAATTCTTAACAAGGGACTAAAAACAGATCATACTGTTAATGCCTTCAGAACAGTGTAAAAACAGCCATATGACAATGCGTAATTTTTTTGTATTTTAAGCTTGTATTAGACAAATATTTCATTTGTGGCCACCACAAGCAGTAAACTGCTTCCACAATAATTCTGTACAAATGCCTTGGCAGGCGGCCTCTTTGTTTTTCCTTCAGCATGCTGAAGCCATTAAAACTCTTAGTGTTGGATGTAAGGCAGACTCCATCTCAAGAGTACTTACATTAGTTTATTCAACTCAGTAACTACAGTTTGTGTCTCTACAGACTGTGGTGCATTCCTGATGCAACAAAGCTCTGTGTACTCTGCTCTGAATACGTTTCTTGGCACTCAGTTGAATCCAGTCCTGTCCATTTGAAACAGCACAGTTAATGGATTTGTCATGTGAATCAGTGCTAATTTAAGTAACAGAGGAGACCTGTAGCATATGGGTCTTCCACATCTCTTAAGATTCTCCATGCAGAATAGGTAATAAGTCTACACATAGGCTGCAGGACTGACATTTTTTGGAAATTGGCAAATGTGTCTCTGTTCCACAGTTGCCCCAGGAGTGAAGGTTGCAGTGTTGAGGCTGTCAAGAGTAAGCTACTAGATTTCCATCAACTTTCTAGGCAGCAACGTGGCAGGGAACGTGCTGTAGACTGTGGGCCTTGGGAATTGTTGCAGTGCTAGCAACTGCCTTCTAGTAAAAAAATGACTGCAAGTTTTCTTTTATTGTTGATATGATGGATAACAAGGATCAGTTATTGTTTACCTTGTGACTTTGATGGGTTGATTCGCAGTTAGGAAGTCATTACTTGATTGATAAAGTGAGCAGGTTCTGAAAATATCAGAGGGTGCTAATGTTTAAAACTGTTCTTTTCAGAGCACAAAAAGGCCTACAATAACCAGAATATAGTCTTAAAAGAGAGATTCTATCTTTGTGTATTTTGAAATCACTGTTAATTAAGCAAGGTGTGTTTATTTAATTATGAGCTGCAGTAACTGTGATCTGACTACATATAACAACATGATTTCTTTAGTCATCCTCAGCTTTGTTGTTACCTGAAGCTAATTGTCTAGGCCATTACTCTTGGAAAAACTGTAATCTAGAAAATCTATTTGGAAAGATGTAATCTAGAGAGGAATTAATCTGATAGTTTATAAGCATTAGTGGCTGATCCCCCTTCCACTGGTGCTTGCCTGCAGGGATACTGATAAATTACAAAGACCTGAAACTCTAAATTTGATGCAGGACAGAGAGCATCACCAAGTACTAAGGAGTCATGGGGACAGGACAGAGAGGTAGGGAAAAGCAACACATAGTTTCTACTGACTAATTTTATTCCACACATACACCCCTCTCCCCCCAGTAACTGCAGTAGCCTGTTGGTCCTCTAAACAAGGATCGTCTGAAAAGGTCCTGGATTGGTTACTTAATCAGCTCATAGATAATCAGTATGAAGAACTGAAATACCTCTGTGTAATAGGCCAAATGTACAATCCAGTTGGTACACCTTTAGCTACAGAAAAGTACCAGAGGAGAGCTAGAAATGACTGCTCAAAATCTGTCATGCACAGTGAGTTAAGTTGTTATCACAGCAGTTGGTTTAACAGCTTTGCTTACTAAACAGTTACTCTTCTGATTTGATGAGATACTTGTGTGTCGCTGACAACTCATGTATGAAAATTTGTTTAGATTTAAGGTAAAAATTATACTTACTCTGTTTTTCCATTTGTCAGACCCCCAGCTGATTCATCTTACTTTCTATCAAGTCACCACAGTCAGGTAACACATTGAACTCTACCTACTATTTTATTCTTTTGGATGAGTTTGACGCAAAACCAAACTCATGTTAGCCATAACACATGGACTGTTTCTCCATCTGTTTTACCCTATGTAGCTCTGTCTTTACAGCATGGTGCACTGTTTTGTTCCAGGTGCCTAACACAGATCCTGAGCTGCACCGCAGGCACATAGAGCATACCCGTCGGGAGGCTCAGCTAGCGGCGCTTCAGTATGAGGAGGAGAGGATGAGAACAAAACAGATTCAGAGAGAAGCTGTCCTTGACTTTGTTAAGGTACCTCCTTTTAGTATCTACTTGATACTTTATCATTTCCGAATCCCTGAATGAAAATTAATTGCCAAGATCATAATACTTGTACATTACACTCTCGAGCATGCATGCCATTTATAAAGAAAATGGAGAAATAGTGCTTAAGTCCATTTAGTGTTGGTGCTGTAGCTTAACATAGACAGGACTAGAACTGGAGAGGAAGACAGAAGAGATCTGCCCACACACAGTTTTTGCAAAGAACTGTATTTTTACATAGTCCACCTCATTCTCTCAATTTTTCATTCATATAGAAGTGACAGGGTTGGTAAAAGAAAGAAGGGGTCTTTATTGGAGAAGGCATGGAGGCCATTTAATTTTGAAGACAAACTGGGCAGAAAGAAAGCGATCATACCCACGAGATGACGTTGGCTGATCTATTTTGATGCTTTATGGTGTGTAAGTTAGTTACTTCCAGGTAAAGCACAGGTGCAAATTTATGGTACCTCAGATCCTCCATGGGTGCTGCATCTTTGTATTCTCTTTCACTGTAGTCAGTATGAAGTACTCTGCTGCTCAACATGCAAATTTCTTTATATGTTAGTTAAATTTATTTTACTGTTTACTGGTCTGGTGACCTACCCAACTCTTGCTATTACAAATCTAGTATTTTGGGCTTAGGGTGGTCTGCAGAGAGGAAAAGAATGTTTTATTGCATTTATGTAATGTGTAAATTTAGTTTAGAAAAAGGTTTTTAGCTGCTGGAAAGTAGGCTTTTCATTAACACCAACTAAGCTCAGGCCTCTGGCAATAGTTTTTATAAAAGCTGTTTTTATCAAAGATTCAGCTCAGGCTTTCAGTTAAAGACATGAAATGTTTAGAATGTATTTTGTTCATTGATGAGCCTTTTTGGGGTTTTTGGTTTTGATTAGCTTTTTTTTCTTCTGTTGTCTTTGTTATGCATGAGCACTTTATTCCCAGCAGTTAAATTCTTCCCTTGGGTTATATTTTGGATTTATTATACATCTTTAATATGCAAAAGCAACTTTAATTTTGTTTGTTTTCACATGGAATAAAGGCTGTTTTTTTATGATTGTATCAGTGAAGCGTCAGCTCAGTGGAAACTTGCAATTTTCCCAGTGCATATTTAAAAACTAAGACTTGTTTTTTTTAAAACACTTCTAAATTACACTGTTTTGTTCTGAGCTTTTGTTTCTCTGTCACATTCTTTTAAATTGTCATTCATTTTTCCTTTTTCTGTATAGCAAAAGGCATCCTTAAGTCCTCAGAAGCAAAGTCCCCTGGATAGTGAGGTAAGAGTCCAATAGGAGTGTTACAAGGGACATCGGCACCTCAATTCTTAGCACTCTCCGTCAGAGGTATTTTTCTGATGATGGAGAACTCTTCAGGACTGGGTTATAGCAGTTCTTTTGACACTTCATGTTAATCCTTGGAATGGTTTTTTTTTTGCTTATGGGACCATACTAGTATTTGCTTTTGTTCGTGTAAATGCCTGTCCAAGTGTGTTGTTTTATTGTTTCTTGCATGTTTTCTGTGTCACATTTCTTATTTCATTTAAAGTTACTCCTTGCGAGCCCTACAGTTTACTTTCTAACGGGAGTATTGAGACAAGTTACTGTGTTGTAGTCATCCTTCATTGATCAGTTTTCTCGCAGTTTCCTGCCATTAGATCAACAGTTATGCCAAAAAGTTTAAGCATTAGAATTTTGAGGGCTGTCAGAAAAATAAAATTTTTTAAAGTTTTATTCTTGTGTAGTTTCCCAATCAAAACCAGTAAGTCAGTGGGGAACACAAATCATACAAGGCTCAGCCTTCTAGAGCTGAGCCAATAACATCTGTTCACTCTCTCCATAAGATTTCTACATGTTCCACTGCGTGCCATCCCCACTTTCCTCCAGAGGACAGTAATTCACTTGGCAGTGTTAATCAGATCAAAACTTTTAATAATATAATGAGTATAAATACTTCTTCAGCAGCATTTTCAAACTAAGTAGTTAGAAAATTACCGAAACATGGGGTAATTGAAATAGTTTTTGCTCCTTTGCCTTCTTAATGTTCTTCTGTTCTTAATTTATTCTTTTAAAGGGTCCTTTGTTCTACCACAGTAAGAACTGTGAATATGTATTAGCTATATTTACTTGAGACAACACAGAAAGCAGAGTAATTGATTCCTTAAGTAATACGAATACACTGTAATTCCTGGTTATGTGGCTGTATATTACTGCAGAGTTACATATACTTTATGGATTTTAAAAAAGCCTCACAATGCTATAAACAAGCAGTACATGTTCCAAAATGTCTGTCTGTTCACATACCATGTGTTTCTGACATTCTGTGTGTTTCTGACATTACTCCATCTCTCCCAACTCCCAGTGTCCTTTTCCATCCAGAAGGTCTCAGCATACTGATGATAGTGCCTTGTTAGTGGTAAGATCCTGCACGTAATGGCCTTTTTATGTGTCAGATTCTAGAGCATAGAAATAACAACATGTTATGATTTTCTCAGACAAACTATTTTAGAGCTAATCTAAATAGCATAAAACATGACCATCTTCTTGAAAAGTAGCTTAGCTGTGAACTTTAATATTATATTGATACTTGTACTGGGAGCCATTTTTTAGTAATATAGTGATGATGTCCCACAAAATAATTAAAACTTATCTTTTGCTGACAGCAGAAGAAAATTACTGATAGAACAGCAATAAAGAACAGCTTCTACAATTAAAAATTAGCCTCTAGTCGTTCTGGTTTGATTTCTTCTCCATTCAGCTTGCTTCCCCATTGATGCGCTCTGCAGTATCAAGTAAGCAATTTTAATGCTTCAGGCACAGCCTTCTACTTTAACTCGTCTGCATCCTGCACACAGTGGTTAGAAATACCTAGTATCCTGGCAAGGAAAAACTGCTTTACATATGCTACAAATCATGAAATATTCCCCAAATCTTTTTACTGTGTATTGATTGAGACATCTTAAAAATAATCTATTATGGACACTTAGAAAAAATAAAAGTATTTATGTACCTAATTCATGTTTTATGCTATTTCTCCCTTTATGGCATCTTAGCAATGTAGCATAATAAAGAATATAATTAATGCCATAATCCATGTCTATAAAAGAAAAATACACCTGATTTGCCTGCTGTTGCATGACTGCATGCCTGGGATTTATTTTCTTCATTCACGTGCTTCCATTATCAGCCTAAATTTTCTTTAGGCAGTGGTTTCAGTTAGAGTATCTTTCTCTAGAACATGTTGCTCAAGATATTTACTATCTCTTTATTCAGACGTTGTTTTCCTGCTTTAAAACAGTCAGCACTGTGCGAGAAAGCAAGCAAGCAAGCAAGCTTGTAATATTAGAGAGAGATGTAGTGATCATGCATGTGCCTGTTGAGAGAAATCACAGTCAATTAGCGTATAAAAATGTGCTTTCATATTTAGATAATAAGAAACAGAAGAATAGCAGTGGTCTGGTTTAAGTGTTAAGAATCTGTTGTCAGTGAATTAATCTTTGGAATGTATTTTAAAGATACCTTTAGGGACTATTTGATTGTGTGACTCCATGACTTCTGTTGTAAATTAATATGTAGAATTTTACATTACATGACTTGCACTTTTCGGAAATTGATTTGAGACTGTCTTCCGTCGCTGTTTGTTTCTTTTGTATTTTAACCAAGTCACATCCTTGCACCAGGCTGGTAGGGGAAGATTGAACCAGATTTCCAAGCGGTCATTTCTCTGTTCATTTATTTTCTTTTGAGTCCTTGCTCTTTTCAGCAGCACTGAACTGTAATAGTATATGAAATACTCAGTTTTCTAAACTGCTGAAGTATGATCTGCAGCTCTATTTTGCAGTGGAAATAAATACACAGTGTGTCTAATGATGACATATGCCAGGGCAGCTGTTTCTGGCAATTATTATAAATTGGAACATTAAGCCCATGCAAGCTCATGAATTTGTAGCAGTTTTGTTTCAACAAATGTATTCTGTGTGGTAAAAACCTGTTCAAAACCAAGGAAATGTTCATTAGATTGCTTTAGGGAAAAAAAAAAAAACCACCAAAAAACAGTCTGTCGTAAGAGTTGAAATTACTTCTGCTTTTTTCTATTCTGTTGTATTTCATTTGACTTTCTCCCTGCCCTTATGGATTTGAGATTTAGCTGGGTCTAATTTCTGAGGATATTTTTTTCCTCCACAACGTATTTGATATCAAAGTGTTCTGTTCACTAATGGCAGTTTTCAGTGCCCATTTTTCATTTACATAGTTTCCTCTCCGTCTTTTCTCTCTCTCCATAAAGACTGCATGCAACAGTGTGAACTTTACCGTACCAAACTTTAGGACATTGCAACTTGCAGATAGGTTACCTAAAAAAAAAAAATTAGTTCTGCTGGTTTTTCCACTGATTGTTCTTGCTTTGTAGTGTGGGAATAACACTTCATGGCAAAAGGAGAGAATATTACACAGAAGTACAGTAAAAGATCTTTTGTTCAGCATTTCCCTTGTTACATCAGAGCTCTCCAAACTGAGCAGTTGCTTTTCTTTTCCTCCAAACAATGTTTTCAGCTCAGATGTAAGGAAAAGATTAAAAAAGTAGTAGTCTAATACATAGTTAGAATGCAAGTGAGCGTTCTTTTATTTTACTTGTTCTGTCTTCTGGTTTTATTACTGCTTTAGCAAAAAATTTTCTTACAACCAAAATTTAAGTTGTGAATTTCCTTTTTTAAATCTTACATCGTGTTTCTTCTCCTTGTTGTCTTTCATAACTAATTAAATTAAAATGTATTCACATTGCACAGGTTGCTCTGATTGTTTCCTTCTGTTTGTAAACATTTTCAGGACAGTCTGTTTGAACTCACAAAAAACTACGCATACTTTTCTATGAGTGTTAATAGTTGAGTTGTATGTTTGTTCTACATACCTGTGATTATAAGTGGATTTTGGCTTCATTGCACACTGCAGGTGCTTTCTTTTTGTTGACTGATGATAGCCAGACTAACTAAAATGTTGCTGACGAAACGTAATCACTGGTCTCTGGTGCTGTATACCTCAAAGTTTTGTATTAATCCTGTCCTGGCTGCTGGTCTCACAAGGGTAGTCCTGTTGGTTTAAATTGAGATTACTTGTTGAGATAGTATCAATGCTTCAGACATGGCTAGTGATGTCAGGTTTGATTGCTTATGGATCTCATTTTTTCCCGAATACTTTGTTTCCTCCCATACCGTCTCTTACAAAGTGAATACTGTGGAAGGAAAAATAGCCCAAAACATCGTCTCAAACTGCTGCACAATTTCTCTGTTGTGAAGCCTATGACATACTTGATAAGCATCAGGCAGCTGGTGTGACCTCTTCCTTTCATAACCTTTGTGTCATTGCTGCCTTGTGCTCTGTTTTCTTGTTGTGGTCTCAAACATTGCCTGAGGCCATCATGTTGCTGTTAGCACCTGGGATTTCTGAAACTTTAAGGCTTTTAGGCACCAGTGTGTCACAAATAATAATGGTATGGGTAAAGTAAGCAGGACTTGAGTTATGGTAACTTCTACCCTGGAGTTTTCTCTTAGACCACTGGCATCCATTTGTGTTTTCAGAAGTTTAATAATCAAATTCTCTTAAAATACCCTTACTTGGTTTGAGCAGAGTTCTGGTTGGGCTCTGCTTTGACAGTCCCTGTATCTACAGTTGTTTCTGGCACAGGGAGATTTCTCTGACTTCAATGCTAGACCTAGAGGCCAAGTGCGGCATGTGCAGTCAGGTGTTGTAAGTCTGAATTCCGACACCTTGGTTCCTTTCATATTGCAGCTGCCTTTTCTTACAGTTGTTCTTTGTCTCACTTCCTCCTTTCTTTCCTCTCTTTCTTTCCTTGCTGGCCCTGGCAGAATGGCTTTGAGCCTTTCTTTGTGTTTGAGATTGACAGTAACACCAATACCATTAAAAGAAGGCCAGGGACTCGCAAACAGGTTAAGAGCATGCAGTGTGTTGCTGTTGTGATTGTCCTACCCTGTCGTGTGCTGTTTTCCCCTTCCCTTCCCCCGCTGCTGGGTACATGGATTTGTGATGAGTTCTTGTTAGTCTGCATCAAGGTTGTCTTGGTCTTTTCATATAGGCATAAACAGTTATGTTAATGTTACAGACCACCTACTTCTGTTTTATTTTACTGATCTTATATAATAGATGATGTTTTCTTAAGTGATATTTTGAAATTCTTACCAAAAAAAAATAACCAAACAAGATTTTTGCTCTGTGCTGCTGTGGAGAAAGAGTCTGTCCTGAGAATCAGCTGTTAAGTCTGCATAAGGCTTGAAGATGTTTGTATTTAAGGCTTGCCCTGAGCATAACCTATCCTCCTAGTCCTTCCTGGCTATACTGTTCTGAAGTGGCAGAGTAGTTGCAAATCATTTAAAACACTAACGCTCTCAAGTGTGTCGTTCACATCCATAGAGTCTCTAGGTGTCATTTGGTGTTCTTCTCATGTGCTGAACTGCCACTTTCCTATTTGAATGCTGTTTCAGAAAGTATAGTTTCATTCTTGAGCCATTCAGTCCTCAAATGTTTTGATTGTGCTTTCAATAAGGCATGGAATTTGGCCTTCTAGGCCCATCTGTCAGTGATAGATTGGGATGCTGGAGCTCCTGTTCCATAAACATGAGAAGTTGTTTATTTGGTTGGGTTTAAGGTTGTCTGTAATTGAAATCTGACTGTGCTTTTTTTGTGGCAGCGCTGTGAATCTTCACACTGATACCTTCCCTGAGACCTAGATTCCACTCATGGAATCTTATTTACTTTGTGTGTAATTCACAAGGATCAGCATTAGGTGTTTGTGGCAGACACAAAGCGTGTATTCCTAAATTGGTGAGATGTGGGTTTCTCTGATTTTCACCAAGTTGACAGGAAAATAACTAACTAAAAATGCACAACATAGTTCAAATATTTAAAAAAAAAAAAAAAAGCTTTATTCTGAATAGTGGCTCAGAATAAATTGTTTAGGGTAAAATTTCCTTTTGGCTGATGGCATAGGGGATAGATTAGGTGTTATTAAAGAAGCTTTCGCCTCACTGTTCTTAGTAACTCACTGTTCTACTAGTTCTGCTTTTGATGTCACTGTGTGGTGTGTAAAAGAAACATCACATCTCCCAAGCTTACAAGCCAAAAAGTTCAGGAGAATAGGAAGGCTTTACCTGCAGTTCAGCAAGTACATATTTGTTGCCTGTTGAGTGTTTCTGAGAATGTGATCACACTCATCTCTTGTTTTTTACCTTGTTTACTGCATTCCACCTTTGTGTGTGACCTATCAGCCATTTGCTAACACTCCTACTGCCTTCTCTTTCTTTCTGCATTCAGTCACTTTCAGGGTTGAATCAAGAAAGCCATGCTACTACTCTGCCTAATGCCTCTACCTTCAGTCCTGTCAAGGTATCTCTTGCTATTATCTTTCACCAACAAAAAAACCTTGGATCCACACATCTGTTTTAACAGGTGTTAGTCTGTCAGCTTCTAATCAGAAGTTCAGGTAGGGTATGAATCCGATTTATCTCATTAAAATGTAGTAGATATTACCTCATCTTAGCTTTAGGCTGCATCTACAGGAGGACTAAGCTATAAAAGCATGGTAACCAGTCTCTCCTCTGAGGGGTTCTTGGTTGGCTTTGATGTTGCTTTTTCTGTACAGGTTTATTTGTGCTTGATTAAGTTGAGTTCATCAAAAGTACTCCTTTTGTATTCTTCACCAGCTTACTTCTGAATACAGACACACTGTCTTTCTTTCTCCTCTGTGAAAACTGCTATACTGCATGCATTAATCACAAGAAATCAATCTGTCTAGGCACTGTAATAAAACACAGGATGTTTCTGTGGAGAGTGATGTTAAGTAAATACCAGGTTTGCATTAGCAAAGGGAAAAGTGTATCCTTACTGGTGCTTCTGTAGTGCAAGTTTTGCACAATGATCTCTTTTTCTGTGTCCCGTTTGCAAAGAATAATTTGAAAGTTTTGGTTTGAAGGAAGAGTAAACAGAGATCCATCATTGCATTGTCAGTACTGTTTCATCATTCTCTTTCCTTAGAAAAAACCAAATGTGTCATTTCTGCAAAAGACAAAACTTTGTTGCTTTCTGCAGCGATGAGACTTGGGGAACAGTGTACTGTGGTTTTTCACATTTCTGGGGTTTGTTGGGGTTCTTTGGTTTGGGTTTTTTTTCTGAAATGCATTTAGATGGATGGAGCTTTTTTTAAAAGCACAGAAAAATTAAAATTTAGTCACAGCTTTTCCAGATTAGGACCATTTATATTCTTCTGCTCTCTTTATCCACAGAGTGATGACAGATCTACCATCTCCCCTGGCTCACCTACCACTCAGACAGGTAACAGGGAAAGGAACAAAAATTTCTGAAAAAGGATCAAAATGCCTGCTTTGCTTGTTTGTACTATGAAGAGATGGGAATATTTGTTCCCATCTCTCTATGTGGCACTGCTGTTAGAGAATTTACCCAGTTATTTGGGTCTCCTTAGAAACACACAAGGGAAGAGACAACAGGGGTGAAGCATGTCCTCAGGCAGTGTAGGGTTTGGCTGCTTTAGGCCCTCATACAGACCTAAAGCAGATGCATTCAGCACCAGCCAGAACAGTTGTTGGTATTGGTATGTGGAATGTGCTTTGCATGCAAGTGTCCTTGGAAGTGCCTTTTCCTGCTCTGTGCTTTTTACCATGCATGGCTGTAATTTATTTTGTCATTATTATATTAAAATTTTTGTTTTGTTCCTTTAATTACCACATTGCCAAACCCATTTCCTATTTAAATTCTAACTGTTTCCTTCTTCCTCCATTCCTGTGCCTTTCCCCGTTTGTTTAGTCCACCTTTCCCCTCCATATCCTGGCCATGCAGTCCCGCCTTCCTATAGAAACCCTGTCCTGCGACCAGAGAGTTTCCTTTACCAAGCAGCTGTCAGGGATGAAGCAAAGAAAGGTAGGTTAAATAGCCCAGAAATCAGCTAGCTTTGCTACCCTGTATTAACATCTGCATTTACTGAGGTTTCGTAGTGTTCTGTTACTTCAGGTCATTACCGTGAAACTACTTTTTGACTTTCTTTTCTAGACATGTGGTATTGCATACTTTTTGAATAAGAAATTTCTTATTTAGAGCTGTCAAATATTCTTTTGCCATATTTGTAGAAATGTGGGGATTTGTTCTTCCTGGTCTGTGCTTACACCCAAGAGATACCGAGGAAATGCCACAAGAGTCTTCAGCAGCTGATGAAGGCAGCTTGATAAATTTAGCGTTGTGCAGTCGCACATAATAAAGTTGCAGCTTCTGTAGAAAAACTGAACTGTTTCAACATTCTCCATCCAGCAGAACTTTGCTGTCTCCTTTGTGAGTTACTGTTACCCAAGAGAAAGAACAATCTAAACAGAAAGGAAAATGTGTTAAAGAATGCCTCACTTAGATTAGGAGATCATTAGTTTGATTCATAATAAAATGAAAGAAACAGGTTGTGAAAGGGAATGTATGATAGCCTTTCTGGAACCTTGTGTGTGCATGTATAGTACAGCAGTGAAGGACAATCAGCCAAACCATGCTTAGTGATTTTTCTTTCCTTCATGCTGCTTTTTTAGGTGCTGTTTCATCTTCTACCTGTACCTTGTCACCTGCTAATGATGCTGCAGACCCTAGAGTAAGACAGAACTCCAAACAGCGAGAGGAGGAGCTGGAGCTAATTGAGCAGCTACGCAAGGTAGGTGCTGCCCTGAGCCAGTATGTGGGCATCTTAGTAAATGCATTGTGCGCAGCCTGTTAAGGCTGTCATTGTGTTTTGGATCAATTTCACTGAACCAGTGTGGTGCAAAATTGACCAAAATAAAATGGTGGTGTACAGTTTAAGTGGTTCTTTCAGATGGATGCAGTGATGTTTTTTGTGATGGATAAAGTCAGCTTCAAATTCTGTAAAATAAAGACTTCTGTTTCTGGGTGTCTGGTGATTTCTGCTTTTAAAATGAATGTGTGCTCGCTTTCTTCTTTATCAGCCCTCACACTTGTTTGGGTGAAGCCTTCACACTTCACTGGGAAGTTACCTCACTTTTTCCTTTTAATCTCTGTTTTAAACTCCCCTTTGCTGTAAATCCCACAGAAAAGCTGGTGCTATGCAGACTACTGCCAGTCATGCTGACAGTATGGTTTCCTTCTGTGCTCTGGATCCATCTTTTGATTCATGCTTTATCCTTAGTTAAGTACAGAACATCAGAGGCACAAATATTCTTTATACGTGTCTGTTCAGGGCCACCACAGTTGTGGCTTATACCCAGGTACAGTGATACTGGACATACATAAATATTGAAAATGACACACAGCATTAAGGTACTGCTCTGCTTTACCCCAGACTTGTTTCTGGAGATCATGAAGAGATTCCTTGACATGTCAATTTTTTTAACTTTCCCAAGAAATAAGAATTCCTACTTGTTAAGGCTATAAACATCCCAGATGGCAGAGAGAATTCTTTCTCTTCGTAACATTTAAAGTAAGGACAATCTCTCCAAAAGGAAAAAGTTATCTTAAAGCAGAACAGAACTTGGTGCTGTTTGCAAAGCCCCTCTTCTGTTATCTCAGAATGTCTGTCTTGTTCTGCTTGCCAGATACGCTTAAATCTTTTTTAACGCTTAAAGTAGATACAGCCTAACAACTCAGTGAAATTCACACAATGTTTGAAATAAGATTAAATGGCTGAACAGAATTTGTATTCATTTTCTTACACAAATGCTGTTTTCGTCAAATAGTTCAGTTTTTTATTTAAAGGCAAAAATGTTGTCTTGACTTTTGTTAACTGTGTTGTCTTCCAGCCCACAATGACAATGATTTTCACTTCCCTTGACAGAACCTTTATCTCAGACTACGTAACATCAGGAATACTATTTCTAGACCCTGATTTCCATTATTTCTGAATAACGGTTGTATTAGTGCTTCCTGCTATACAATGAAAACTGTTCATCATTGAACTCAATTGCTCCCAGATTATGGTCAGCTCTGGGCCACAGTAGTGTGCAGAGCTTTCCTTGATGTTATTCAGAAAGCCTTTTGGAAATGTCATGAGGACAGACAGAGTTGTAGTGCAAGCACTCTGCCTCATGTAAAATGTTCTGTAGAATGAAACAGCTGGAGGAAACCAGCTCTTACTTTTTGTGTGTCCATGTTCATCTTTCTGCAGAATATAGAATCACGGTTGAAAGTGTCATTACCCAGTGATCTTGGAGCAGCTCTCACTGATGGTGTTGTTCTGTGCCATTTAGCTAATCACGTGCGTCCTCGATCTGTTCCCAGCATTCACGTCCCCTCGCCTGCTGTTGTAAGTATGTAATAATGATAGTATTTTATAGGTATCCAAAATAGCATCCAACAAAGTCCCATAACCTAGACAAATGCTAAATTCAGCATTTTCCTCTGTGAATGTACATGACAAACATTAACCATCTGCTCTGTCTAAAAAAGGTCTATAGCATCATTAAAAGAAACTATATTTGTGTTTGCTTCACTTAAATGAAGTTGCTTGTAACATAGATTATAAGAAAATGTTAACATTTTCAAGTCCTCCATCCATCAACATGAAAATTAGTGAAATAAGAGTCAGTTCAGCATGAAAACTGAAATAGGGTATTTCAAAAGATCAAAAGGTCTGAGAAGTTAAGAAAAGCAGATAGTAGTGAAATAGGATATTCTCTACCACTTTTAGGATCCCACTGCATAAGACAGTAAAAACAAGCAGAGAAGTCAAGTTGATTCCTGTGTCCACTTCGCAGCACTACAAATTCCTCTGCTTAGGAATTTCAGCAGAGCACACTCAAGCTACTAGGAGAACATCATCTCCTGGAACAGAACAAATCCAGTCATACCTCTGTGATAATAGTACCCAGACACAACCTTTTTTCCTGTTGAGAGCAAGGAAGGAAATGCAGACATACTGCAAACAGAGAAGTTTGAAAATGTCTGAAGTTGTTTCTCTGACCCTGCCTATCTGCAGTGCTTTGGGAAAGCAGTGATGATAATAGATTTCAGGATGCAGGTCACTGTGTATCACATAGGGAAAGCACAGTATTAGAGAAAGGTCAAGAACTGGGAAATAGTAGCAGATCATTTACCTAATGTGTATTTGTGGAAGTTAGAAAGTTCAGTGAAAATACTTAGGGTCAGCTACTTAAAAGTATTAGGAACAGGCAGACTGCTTGTTATGCACCTTTAGAGATTGATCCTCTGGGAAGGAGTTGAAACATGCCTGTTGTGTTTGCTTTTCCTTATTTTGGAGTCTGTCATTGTGTTGGCTGGAATTTGAACTGGCACTTACAGGGCTGCCTACTATATCATTGTGGCTCCTCTCCCTTGGACTTAATGTGAACAAGCAAATGTCTTCATTACTTTGAGAATGATTGAACTGGCCATGCCAACATTTTAGGCAGATTGTGGAATCATTAAGAGAAAAGGCATACAGCCGCTATTCAGAAGACTTACGTCACTGAGAGTATCTCTTCAGTGGCCTGGCTTTATGTGCTGTTGAATATTCTGTGTTGGGAATTAAATCATGGCTTTGTCATACTAATCCCAAGGAGGAGGCAGCCATTAGCTGTGTGGCTCCAGGAGCCGAAGAGGCATCATGTCATTCCTCAGTTACAATGTAATCTTTGTATTCCCTTCGCCTTTTGGGGCGAAAGAAGTCGGCGCTAGCCTTTAACCTGCTTTCTTGATGGGGAAGTGTGGCACATTGAGGGGATAGAGCAGAGTCCCTGCCATTTGTGGAAAAGGATTGAACCCACAGAGGCTGCTGCCTGCTGCTATGTAGACTCTGGGTAGTTTTTTCAAAGGAGCAGGAAGCTTGTGTCTCTTTGACCAGAAAAGAATAAACTTCACAAATAGAAACGAGACAGAGGCTGTGCCCTGGTCTGTATGTGTAGAGGTGTGCAAGCTAGCTGCAGAAAAAAACTTGCTTGAAAAAATGCTGGTGAGTGCAATTCAAACAGCTACATCAAACACATCTACAAGCAGCAAGCTTCAGTTCCACTTTTCTCCCATTATGTTCTGGTTACATCTAACAGCCTTCCTTTTTTTTTTTTTTTAATCTCTTTGTTGTTTGACACACAGTTTGAGATTTATATGGTTTTGTATTGTAGTCATCCAGAGAGACTCCAGATTTGCTTCATATCATGAAATTGCTCTGAAATCACAGCATGGAAGCCATGCATGTGCTTCATTCAAAGTATATTTTTGAAATTGCTATGCTGTGGTCACTAAGGGTGTTGGCCAGTTTCATAACACCTTGTGTCTAAATAGTGCACAGCTTAAAATTGTCTTTTTTAATAAACATCCAGAATTCATAAATTAGCTTTTCATAAAATGGCTTTGAAATTCTAAAGAAAAGCAAACTTAAACAGAGCCTGCTTTGAATTAGACAAGCTTAGGTCAGTGCAGTAAGTTTTTGGCAAAGAGATTTATTAGGAGTTTTATTTAAATAAAAAATTAAGATCTTTTTAAATCCTGCCAATGACGAACACTGTGCCTGCCTCCTTCTTTGCAGCCTAAACTTACAATGGCAAAATGCAGACGAAACGTGGAGAATTTCTTGGAAGCTTGCAGGAGGATTGGAGTGCCTCAGGTACGTATTTCTGCTATCCTGATATAATGTTTCAGGTGCAGTTTTGTATGATGCTTCGGAAAATAAAACCTTCTTTGAAAGATTGGATGAAAACAAAATTATTAAAAGCTTAGAAGGTGCAGGTATAAGCTATGTCTTGTGGTATAGATCAGACTTAGCTTGCATAATCTTCCAGAGCTAAATGATGTCAGATTTAGTATATCAGAGGTCTTATTCACTTACTGCTGTCCCTCAAATTCATAATAGCTGATGCAGTTGAAGTCTGCCTTTAGAACTGCAAGGTATTTCTAACTACAGTTACGTCTTCTCAAGATTAGATATTTGACAGCTTAAAAGTGGGATAAAACTTGGATGATGTTTTGCATGTTTTATTTTTCCCAAAGCTTTTCACATTCCTTCAGAATAATTATCCCACACAAATACCTTTCCTATCTTACCAGCAAGTCACAGTATTACTGGCCTTTCTCTGATGGTAGCTATCTTTGCAGAGATCCTAATTCTTTCATTACATACCAGTGGTAGAAATCCGTCTTCAGATACTCCTTGTCACCTTCTGAAACTTGGAAGATCTAGGAGATGGGAACATAAAATAGTCCATCTGACTCCAGTTATCCTGTTTTATGCTATCCTGTCCTTTCCACTTTGTCTTAGCAGCTGTGTCAGCATAAATAACTTTGATACATCATGTTTTTCTTAATTTTTCTTCTAGTGCATTAATTTTGTTTCTTATATTGCTAAGCATTAGTGTTCCTATTGTAGGTGCTGTTTTCTTTCTTCTGTATTGTGAAAAGGAAAAGTAGACCCAGGCGCTCATTTCCCAGTTATTTCTAAAACCACTGTTCTCAAGTCAGTCATGCAGTATTTTTTGGTGTATTCAGATAGTTCACTTGCAGGCATTTGAACCACTGGGCTTTTAGGATATCATACTTATCAAATGCCTGGCAATTCCGCATGACTCAGTGGTGAACTGCCTTGGAACATGGTAGGGAGTTGTAAGTGATCATTAGTACTTTGAGATCCTGCACTATTTTGGCACCCTAGGAAACTTCAGATTTTTACTCCCGGCAGAACTACACAATATAAATTTGCCTGAGGCAAAGTTGTTCAATTCTACCCCAGCTTCCCTAATTACAGCTCCCTCAAACATGCACATGTGATTTTTATGAGATTACAGTACGGAGCAGATCACTGAAATGACCCACCTTTAACAACAAACAAACAAAAAAGCCAGTCAAGAAAAAAGCTCTTATAGACGCAGCCTGCTCCATCTGCTGCACCTACAGTCCAGGACCCTCCTGATTTTCTCATATTTCTTGCTTTAATGTGGAAGAGTTCAAGGAGAGTGTCTCTGGGGAAGCTTACTGAAACAGCCCCACCTGAACTCTGAAGTTGCTCTCACATGTCTACGTTACATATCTGCTGAGATGTGAATGTAAGATATCTCTATGCAAGAATGGCCTAGCATGGTTTTTTGAAAAGATGCCTGCAGGTATTTCCTTTCCTTTAACGTCTAATTACAAAAATAAAAGGCTTTCTGAAATATGGATCTATGCAGAAACACTAAGAGAAGACTACTTTTAGAAAACGGTAATTACAGGCTCCACAGTGGAGCAGCTCTTTACAGAACTTTGCAAGTTAAAGCCCTTGCATCAAAAGAGTCTGACAGTTGAACAGATTGATCTGTGCATCTAGATTTCACTGATTTACGCTTCTTACCTGGGTGAAAGGAAGGGAAAAGATACACATTGGGAATAGTTGCAGAACACTTTAATTAGTAATAGATATTTTTGCAGACTACCCTTGTCCTACTGTTTTCATTAACTAAGAGTGAATGGAGACTTAGTGTTGGTGAGTGCTCAGTGCCAGCAGTGTCTCAGAAACCTCCCCTGGAGAAAAATGGTTTTCACTAAGGCATGTGTAAACTGCTGTTTTTAACAACAAGGAATAGTTACATGTTTAAGCTGTACACAGGTGACAGGCACCTCACTGAACACTAAATATTTGCATTAGGTCTGTTCTTTGCAATGGGAGTCTTGCGGATTCCTTTGTGCAAAATAACCAGCTGTGATATGCTCCTCAACTATGTAGGCTGTATCTGAGATGTCTGATAACTGACTGCTTCGTGGATGTTGCTATGGCTAACTGACTGACCTTTTTTTTTCTGTCTGTTTTCCCTTCTTGCTCACACACTCTGGACAGGACAATCTTTGTTCCCCTTCTGACATTCTTCAGCTAAACCTCAGCGTTAAAAGAACAGTTGAGACTCTTCTTTCCCTGGGGACAGATTCAGAAGAATCCAGTCTTGTCTCCCTTTCCATTCAGCTCTGGGGCTTTGTGGTGTTTTACTGTACTCTAATGCTAACGCTCTGTATGTTCTATCGCTGGGTCTTTTTTCTCTAGCTGAAGGATAGTGTCGCCGCTTCCTCCCTCTGTCCCTCCAGTGCTTGGGAAAGGATTTGGGGTTTTGTCAAGACTGTGTGTATGAAGTGCTTTACTTCCCACTGATGGGACAGAGGTGACAAGTATAATGTGTGAACACATTGGTGCACCCACACGACCGTCTGTGACATAATCCACATTTGTATTTCCTGTGTCATATTTAGCAGGTGACAAGGGAGGAAGTGCTGTCTGGGAGCTAGAGTGAGGCACAGAGGTTAGGACGTGTGGGTGCATGCTATAGTCTGCCAACAGGTGATGTAGTACTTGGAAAACGGTGTTGTCAGTTTGTGCCTCAGTTTTCCCACCTGTATAATGGGAATTGCACCCACCCTGGTAAATTGCTTGAGAATTTATCTGATGAAAAATGTTGAAGAAGGCAAAGTTGGTTTTTTTTCCAACATCAGTGTTCTTGATGAGATCTCACAGTCTTAAGGAGGCATGGTCTGGTAAGTTTTATCCACGGGACCTTGTAGCTGATTTTTCTTTTTCCTTATCCTTATGCTGCTTCTGAGAGCATGTGATTTCTTGTATTTGTAGACTGGTGTATTAGTCTGAGTCAGGATTTGCACAGTAACTGTCAGTGAATCCTGAACTACGTGAGCTTTGTAACAGATCAAGGAGGAAATTTTCAGAGAAATTGCACTCTTTAACAACTTTGAAATAATTTTTTTTCTGTCACAGAAGGAAAAATCCCTTAAAATTCTGTTGCATGCCACAGAATGCTGTAGCATTTTACTGTGCTCTGGATAAAACTTAACAAAAACTTCTGGAGTTTCCACTTGACTGTGGGCAGCCCAACCCATGCTTGTTCCATGCGTCTTCCTCCCATCCTGTAATTTTCAGAAACCTTGTATCATCCAGTTGCAGAAATGCAAGTCCCAGTTGCACAATGACTCTTCACTGTTATACAAAACTCAGGTAGTCTTCCATAATGCTTCAAAGCTTTTCCCTCCCCAGGAAAAGCATCCTGGTGCTTTAATGCTTTAATGTCTCAGGGACACCTCAGAACTTCAGGGCACTCCCCATGTGATGTGTAAAAGACCATGTCTCCTCAGAGTGTAGATTGATTCAGGGAACTCTGTTCAGAGACCAGTCACAGGTAAGTGTTAAAGAAAATGGCTTAATGACAAATGTGTTTTCAGTACATTTCTGTTACATCTGAAAATACAGGAAGTGGCTTGTAAGCCCAGTGTAAGTGGTGTTAGCATTCCGATGTTAACCTGGCAACAGCTCTGAAGCACAGTTTAAGATACACAGGAGTTCAGTTGCACTTGTAGTTGCTACCAGTAAAAATGTGTTATGTGTACATGGATCTCGCAAGCCCTTGTAACACAGAGCGAGTGCTTAACAAAGAAGCAACTAGAGGAGTCTGTGCCCTCTTTCCAAATCACACAAAGTGTTCTGTCCAAGCAAAGCATTTCTGAGCAAAGAGGGGAATTCTGACAGGGGGAAATTGTTTTATTTTTAAATGAGCTATTTTTGCACTGCTTACTGGTATAAACTAAAATGAACTCGGTTCCTATGTCCTTTAACTTTTTCTAATGAACACTGTGATAAAAGCTGCAAGGGTTTTTTTACACTAACAGTGCCTTCCAGTTTCTAAATGTTGCTTGTCACGACTGACTGTGATACGGATTCATTCCAAAGCTTATCCTCTTATCTGCTTGCATATAGAAGAAAAAAGGCATGTTTGCTCAAGTTTACAGGTTATTTTCACGAAAAGCACACTCTTTTCAAAACAGCACAAATTTGCTGGAAGAAAAATGTATTTGAGCCTGGTCATATGGTTTACTGTGAGAATTTCAGCCTGGTTTTGTTTGTTCTCTCTCCACCCTGAGCTTTGCGGGAGGAGTGCTGGCTGCTGCTGTTTATGCTGAAGGATTTCTTTAACATCCTAAATCAGTGAAGGGTCAAAAAGTGGAGGAAGGCAGGTTGCTGTGGAAATAACACGTGAAATGTAGTTCTGTAGGAAGGACACACTTTGGTTATTTTCTACAAATACAGGACATGTATCCTGACTGTTGCGGAGTGAGGATGGCCAGGATGTGCCAAGGACTGGTGTAGGGTGAGACTTTAAATACGTCTTAGGCTGAGAACAGCACAATTATTAATAAACACTTTTAAACCTCTCTTGCATTTTGCGTATTACTCTTATTCCTCAGGATGACTTTGGAGGTAACCTGCTAGGCGGGTGTACCTCTGGGAGGTTGATAAGTGGTAGTGGTTCATTCTCTGCTTTAAAGCATGTCTCTCCTCACGTTTGATAGCTGAACAGGAGGACTTCCTCAAAAAGGCAGTGTTGCTCTGGAAAGGAAGCCATGGTTCCTTTCCTGCTCCATGTGGTGGTGGGTTCATCACACTGAGGGAAAGCTGTCTCCCTTCTTTTGGGAGAAGTTCCATCTTCTTTTGGTTTCATAAGCTGCTGCTGTTTCAGTGTGGGCAGAGACAGAGCAATCTGCTGTTCCCCGCACCTCCCACAGTCCTCTTCAGGTTCCATTTGTACAGTTTTCTGATAAATGAAGACAAGGATTAGCCCGAGGCCACCTTCGTTGAGAGTCGAGTTCATGGTTCTTTAGCCACAAGCAGGAGTTTCATGTCGTACCTGTGTGTGTGTGTGCTGGCTGTCCATAACATTTCATATTTCAGTCACCTTTTGCTTGATTTTTTTTTTTTTTCTTTTCAGTTGAGTGTTTTTCATCCATTTTGTTTTTGTCTTTGTTTTGTTCCCCATTCAGGAGCAATTATGTTTGCCTCTACATATTTTAGAAGAGAAGGGTTTGACACAGGTAGCTGTGACTGTCCAGGCGCTCCTGGAGCTGGCACCCCCAAAGCAGCAGCAACTTCACCACTTGTCTGCTGTGTAAAGACCTCCGGGACCTTTGGGGTTACCTTGGCTAAGCAGAAGGACGTGAAGACTTTACTGCCCATGCAGTGCATCCAAACACACAGAGCTCTGTTCTAAGGAAACGAGTTTCCGTGATTCCTGACAGGAATGTTTTACTTCATTTCTCCATTTTTTTTGGAGATCACAACAGTTTCCAATAACATTTTTATTATCAGTATTTTGCCCCTTATTTAAAGAAAACAGAGTTCATTGGGAGGAGGGTAGGGAATTCCTTGCTGACATGGGTGTAGCTTGGAATGAGATTCCTAGGGGAATTCATTGTTAAAAAAGGATGTTGCTGCAGTGGGCACATGGGGAAATTTCTTTCCTTCCTCACAGGGTTCAAAGAAGGGGAATTTCTTTGCTTCCAAAGAACAGCTATTTCTATTACATATACTAAAAAATTGCAACACACAATCTTACCTGCAGTGTTTGATGACAGGGTCGAACCTCCTGCTGCTGTAACTTGCGTTGGCATGTCCTCATCACTTAAAATTTGAAGACAAAAAAAAAACTGATGAATTTTTTTTTCTCAAGGGTTGAGAAATACTGCGTGTTTTCTCTGCAGGAAAGCGCCGTAGTCAAAGATACTGAATCAGAACTGTTCAAATTGTGTTAATCACATCAGCATTCTTGCTGGGTTCACTTTCTCTTTGGGCTTTTAACATGTCTTTATCTGACGATTTTCCCAACACCAGTGGAGAGAGATCACATCTGTTTCCTCACCTGCCCCTCTGGTCAAGCAGGGATGCGTTTGGTTACTCGGTGGTTTTGTTGAATAGTGACTAGATGTCATCAGGAGCCACGTCTCTATTTTCACTGCAGTGCAAAGAATCACAGCCTGCTGTGTTAATAATCCTTGGCAACCCTTTATCAAATGGTTTATTAGGGGCGGGAGCATCCCCTGCAGCCATGCCAGCACTGGTGAGTGTCCCAGCCACTGAGAAATTCATCATTTTAAGAACACAGTTACTGAATTTCCACAGTGGGCTGCGTATTGTCAAAACAGTGTCTGTTACAAAAGGTAGCTTCTCTTTGGGGGTTCGACAGGGCTTTAAATAAGCCTTTTATCGGTGAGAGTTTATGTAGAGAGCCGCACTGGTTTTACAGAGCTACCATTACTTCTTTCCTTTTTCCTTAATATGAAAATGGAAATTCAATATACAGGAATGGGAGAGGTAGCCAACAGGTTTCACATTTTTCTGGACAGATGATCCTGGCAAAATAAAGACTAGCTCCATGTGCTCTGGTCCTAGTGCCGAGGCCAAGCTCACAACCACATCACCTACAGTATTTTCTCCCCCCCACCCCCGAAAAAAGACCTTGCAAAATCTAGTTCTCTCCCGTGCACTTCCTTTGGTTGGCTTTGGCCCATTTAAAGCATCCCAGAATGTTACGCTACTAATAAATACATGGTGCATGGGGTCTGAAACCAACCTCAGGCGCTGGAGGTATTCCATCTGGGAATATATTTGAAGCAGAATACACCAGAAGGATTTCATAGGGATAATAACAGAAGAAATGGGAGGAGGCTGGCTAACAGGCATTCTTGTGGAAGTAAACCTCCCATGGGAGCACTGCTAAGGACTGGGCTTAGCTGAATTTTCCCCCTTTTGATTTGCAGTTTTGTTTCCACTCCATTTTGCTTCATGTATTTCTTTCAAGGTCCATTGTGGTGAGTGTTGAATCCCTTATTTCACATAATTATTCCAGTTGCTCCTTACTGGCATCTGTAGATGGCTGATCACATTGTGAGTGGAGAAGAACACCTGAAGGGTATTTCAAACTGTGCAGCTGGAGAGAAACCTTTTCACACTGGGTCTGTGCGCTGCCCTGAGCCTGGCAGGAAATGAAAATGCCATGTGTAGGAAGAGAGCAGCCCACACAGACACTTTTCTCCTCAGATCTTGTATTTCACTTCATGTCGCTTGCAAGGAGTGCTGGTAATTCTCACATGATTATGTCAAAGTGTCTGAAGTCTCTGCTGTGGTTTGTTGGGTGGAAGGTTCTGCCACTCACAAGCAAACAGTACGGACCACAAATGTTCTGTGTGTGTTTGTCGCTGCATAGAATTTAAAAGAGGAGGGTACTGACTTCATCAGTTTCCATCATCAGGTCACTTGTGTTGTTACAGGGCTTTTATTAGCACACCCTTTGTGGGCTAGTTAAACACTCCTGTTTTAAGAAAACCCTTCCCTTCATGGAATGGTGGGTGTGCTCTTTGCTCCGGTCCAGCTTCCAGCACTTAGGGGAGGTGAAACCTAACAGTGTTCAGGTTGGTGGAAGTTTGGCGTTTCATTAATACTAGTTTTTAGGAGTTAACGGGGTGGGGGGTTGAGTCTGGACAGCAAGAAAAGGCCGTTTCCCCTTGTGCCTGGTGAAGGCAGCTCCTCTTCTGTCCAAGCAGTGTGTGTGCGGCAGCAGAGCTTGGGTAAGGAGCGGCAGTGGCCTGGCTGGGCAGGGGCTACCTCCACCATTGCTCGCTCTGTGCTAAGCCCTGGTTCCCTCTGGCAGTTTCAGTGTATGTGACATATCAGTTTGGCAGTAACAATCCTGTGTGTTCATCCTGGCAAAGACTAAATCTTGACCAGATGTTTAGGAACAAAATCCAAACCTGAAATTTCATCTTACAGTTAATTTAATGTATTATACCAAACCCAACTTCAGTTCTTGTTTGCAAAATGGGTGCTGATTTTTTGGTGTGTTTCTGTGCAATTTTTGTCATATCCCTTGAAAAGAGTATATTAAAGAGAACGTGTATAAAATCCTGTTTCGTGTGACAAAGCAAAGAGGCGATTGTCTTTCTCTGGGGCATTTGTGTTCAGGAGTAATCCACCTGAGTGTGTCATGCTTGCCGGTGTTTACACACTGGTTCCCCTGTGCCACTTGTCCTTCCTTGAGCCGTGTCAAGTGCTGGGCAGTGTTTGATGCTCAGCAGGGTTACATGCTCGAGGTGGAGCGGTGCAGGCACACGGGAGCCCTGGCAGCAAAACCCCCCAGGGTTTAGGTCTCCCCTGCTGAAGGGGAGGCGTTTGTAATGGCCCCAGCACAGCAGCCTGCTTAAAATGAATCTGAGACAGCTTCTTACAACGCCAAGGACACCTCTTGTTCTTGGTTGTGACACAACGGCAAATGGTATTTTTATCCTTTTATGCCTATAAATAGTTATTTGAAAAAATGTTTTAGGAACAGAGTACTTCTAAGGTGAATTTGGACATTAAAAAATGCTTTTGTATAGATATTGTGATGTTTTACAAAGTGATCTAATTTTGTTATTTCTGAAAACAGTGTAAACGTGTAATTAATAGAGTAAAGGATTTTAAAGCTCCATCCCATGCTGTATGTCTGTAAATACATTCCATAATTTCTAAGTCTGTTACACATAAATGTGTCTGAGTATTGTATATTTTACATTGCCTGTATTCTGCCAGTAGTGTGAACTTCTAGCACACCTGTAATATAAAAGGAAACCATGGGTAATTTGAAATAAAGTTTTCAAACTTACATAAGTTACGTTATTTCTCCCTGCTGTTTTTCTGTTCCACCCATGAATGTCACATCCTCTGTATCGGGTGTTTATTCCCCTTCCTCATCCTTGCAGGTGCCAGTTAGTGGACTTCTTTGTTCCTCTCATTTTCGTAGTTAACTAGGACAGAACAACCCCATTGTCTTTACACATGTTCTGCAGCCACATCAGAAGCTTTTTCTTAGGGATATTTTACCTTCCACAGACACAGAGAAGCAGTGATACTGTTCAGAATCCTGTGCTCCCCTCTCTCCACGCCCTGGTTTTTCCTCAAAGCAGAATGTACACTCTGGGTTTGGGGACTTTGCTGGTGCTGCTGCTCCTTGTGGCTCTTACTGCTTGCGTGGTTTTATCCTGCCTCGGGTCTAATCTGTAAAACTTGCACCCAGCTTCATGCCCTGCAGCATTTGAAGGGTTTGTTTTTACTGACCAAAATGCCTGCTCCTCTTTTCTTCCCTCCTCATAGCTAGTTTTTATTATTTAGAAAAATAAATAAGTAAAGGCCTAGAGAGCCACAAACTTCCCACTGCGTGCCCCTGTTCACTGCTCACCAAGCTGCTGCCTTCGTGAGGGCTGCCCATTTCTCTCCAGGTGTTCATCCTTCCCATTCTTTCCAAAGCCACCTCCTAATCAGCTTCCCCATCTCCAGCCTTTCTTCCCCATTTACCTCCCAGGAACCCACTTCTTCCAAAGGGCTTGCGATTTCTGGTTTTCCCTACAAGAAATATGGATGTGCTTTGATCCCCTCTTTCCATAGCCGGAGAAAACACACAGTACCAACCCTGACAGAGTTCCTCAACACTGCCAGGTTTTGGGACACTGTTCTCCCCTCCCACCACCAGACACACACTCAGCCAGTTTACTTGCCCGCTGCACAGCCAAGGAACAGAGCGCCGCTGCGGTTTTTGCTAAGCAAGGTAAGGCTTGTAAGGGGAGCAGCACCTCTGGGATGGGCTGCTGGCGGGAGGAGGAGGATGGTTGGCAGCCAGGCCACAGTCCCCAGGGAGGAGCATGCTGTCCTTCCCTGGGAGGTGCGAGTTTAAGTTCAACACCTTCACACCCATTGCACTACAACCAGTGGCTGGGACACTTGTGTTGGACTTGAGATTTCAGCACCTCCCACCTTAGTGGAATAACAGAGCCTGTTCTACTGCTGGTTTTTTTCTTTGCAACCAGAATTCTGATTTGCTTTCTGCTGAAAAGCAGTCAGATCCCAGGAAATGCCACGTTTCAGATTTCAGTTGTTTGGTTGTATTACTAGTGTGTGCCTAGAGTTTGATATAAGGTCTACCACCCCTCCACTTATCCTGCTTTTTCCTTTGTTCAAGCCCTCTGAAGAGTTTATTATCAGACTCAATTCCTTCCACCCGAACAGGTCACCTGTTAACACCCACCACATATGGAAAACGTAAGTCAGCAGTGCATGAGAAAGGAGAGTTAAGATTTGGAACCTAAGTCCCACAGTTGCTCTGAGGCACTTCCTACAGTGAGGGGTGTGGATATGTACTGTCGATATGGGTGCGGGCACAGTCCTGGCTCATGATACCTGCTCTTAACACTGCACGGAGACCATGGAAAGTGAGCAAAATGGCTTTGGTACCAGTGTTGGGAAGGGAACCTGTATCTGAAACTTTTGTGCTCCCTTGATGATCCATTCTGCCTGATACTTGGGCACCAGCCCCTTCTCTGCTGTTCATACAGAGCCGTGAGCCAAAGGCTCTCTGCTTATGATTTCAGTCATCTCCACCTTTAGATCTTTTGGCAGAGTTCAACTTGGACATGAGGATGTTTGGATGAGGCCAGCATCAGCTGGTCACTAAGCACAGCAGGTTTTGTGTGGTTTGAGCTCTCCTGTGAGGGAGTGTCAGACACCAGCCAGCTCAGCCACGGGGCTAATTTTGCCTTATGCACAGACCTGCATGTGACTGACAATCGTGTCAGGAGAAGGGGCTCCCCTCTTGGTTAGAAAAGCAGTGCACTGCTGTCCAGCAGCTTCACTCTCTTTCTGCTGCCTCATCTTGCTGTGCACCGATGAGGCCAGGGCAGCTCCTGCAGGCAGTGCATCCGGCTGTCTTTTTTCGATGTGCCTTCCCCCGGTGGGATGACATTTGGAGCTATGCTGTGCGCTGACATTTTGCAGGACTGGGGGAATGGAAACCTGCGTGCTTTGACTGCCCTTGTGTTTATACTGCAAGCTGTCAGCAGTTTTTCCCCTGCTGACCTGATGCTGGCACTGACAGCCGAGCTGCTTGAGCCCAGGTGTGGGTGACTTGGCCTCCCTGCCTCACTTGGAGCCGCAGCAAACACCAGTGCCTCAGCCATGGCCAGAGCTCTGGGGTCTGCAAAGGACATTCTCAGTGCAGAGCATCCCATGCAGGCAAGATGCTGGGCTGTTAACAGGGTTACCTCCTGCTAGCTGTCTTTGTTTCCATACAGCACTTTGGGGGACAGTGTTTCTCACTGCTCTGATGCAAATCCCCTTTCTGCTGGAGAAAATGTCTCTGCTGTGCAAGGGCAGGTTCAAGATCGTAAGAGTTACTGTAGCTTTACCTTAACTGTGTCTGACATGACTGTGTTCTCCAGAATAGCTTGAGAACTTGATTTATTTCATTGTGTCAGACAGACTGACAGCAGTGCCATGCCCAGCAACAGCCCTGGAGCATTTCTGTGGCCACTTTCTTATCACTTTTTTTTCTTTGCTCCAGCTTTTCCCTTTTTCCCTTTTTCTTTGTGGTCCGATTTCTTTTTCTCCATCTTCTTCTTGAGGCCCTGGTAGGGGCCAAGGTTCTTGCGGACCATTGTACCTCTCCACCAGGACTGCAGCTGGAAGAGAGAGAGAGATGTCTTAGGAGAAGCCACTTGTTGGAGTACCTGGTACAACTCAATGGGCAGAGTCTCTCTTGTGCTCCCCAGCTGCAAGAGGGAACCTCTGGCCTGCATAGCAGCAGTTGGGCCTGTGCTGGTCATGCTGAAGGAATCCACATCTGGGCCAAGGGCATCTATTGCTGGTGGCAAGGGGATGAGCATGGGACAGCTCCATGACCCTCCCTCTATCACCCATGCAGTGGGGCTGGTGTGATAGGCACAGCCCCACATCATTTGAGGGGACCGGCTTCTCCCCTTTTGCTGCTTTCTCAAACCTGCAGCTGACTGCTGGCTTTGTGTCTGCCCCAGTAGAAAGGGAGGACAGGCTTTTTCTGTCCTTTGCTTGTGCTGCCCCACACCAGCCAATTTTCTTGGGCCATTTTCTGCCAAAACAAATGACACAAATTACTAACTCCCATCTGCTGATGGAGCAGCACTGCCTCAGCTTTACTCCCCTTTACCTTCAGGGTGCTCTTCAGCTGCAAGGCCTCCTGCTCTATTTGTTTTCTTTTAGCATCCTTTTCTGCCCGGTCAGTGATGATGGTTTTCTCAAATGTCTGACACTGCAAGACAGCACAAGGGTGGCAACAGCAGCATGAAAACCACTTTCCCTAAAGTGCAGGGCTGTCCTTCAAGCCTCACCCTGCCCATCAGCCTGCCAGAGCAGGGCTCATCCAGACCCTGGTGAAAGGATTCTTCTCCTCTGGCTGTCTAATGGGCCACAGCGCGGATCTCTACCCTGTGCACCAGGGAGCTCCACGGCAGCCCAAAGGCAATGTGTAAGTGTGAGCCTTCCTCCCCCATCTCCTTTATTTGATCTTTCCTGAATCCAGATGGCAAATGTTGCTCATTACTGCCATCAGTCCACAGGCACTGAGAGCTGCCGCCAAAGTGAAGCCTCTCATGGCCTGGGTATAATTAACCCTCTGATCCTGCACTGTAAAATGGCTGTCTGATGGTGTCTCAGGCAACAGATGGTGGTAGGAACGACCTGGGCTCCCCCAGGTAGGAAGCAGATGATGTACAAACACCTGGGACACTGAGATGACAGTGTACAGAGTAAAAAATATGAGCCCACAAACAGGGAAACATTTAACTCGGTTCCATCATCTCAGACCCAGTGACAGTAAGGAATGATTACAAATTAATTCCTTCTGGCTTCAGAAAACCCCTTTTTCTAGACACTTCTCTCCACCCTGTGCTGCCTGCTTTACTGTGCCTGCATAGCTGTGTTCAGAGCATGGCAGTTAACCAAAAAACTAGTGTGGAGCAGGAATAGTTTTAACCAGGTCAGTCCTTTAGAGCACTGTGCAGCTGTAAATGTGCATCTGCAGGGAGGGATGAACTGCCTCTTCCAGTCTCAGCCTGTCTTACCCCAGTGTGGCTAGAAGGAGCAGATATGTTCAGAATAAGGCAGCAAATGAAGGTGAGGCATACTGATGGGATGGGATAGCATCTTTGCCCCTCTCGAAGGCTGTCAATAGCTCTGATTATTTGCTGATATTTGGCAACTGCTGTAGGGGAAACATCATCATCCTTCAGTGTCACAGGTGGCAAACAGAAGATGACTGCTCGGTCCCTGCCTTCCTAGAACCATCTCACAATACGCCTCAAGATTATTGATTTTTACTTTCCGGGGTCCTGGTTCCTTACCTGAATGCAGGTAAGAAAAAGCCAGGATGCAGTTTTGCATGGCTGCGCAGAGATGCTGCTGATGTCTTACCTCCTTGGCAAGTCCCTGCAGTATTTCCAAGTTGTTTGCCTTTAATGCTTTTAGGGCATCCAGTTCTTTGTCTTTAGCATCTGTGTCGTTTTCGTATTTGTCAACCCAGAATTCCAGTTTCTCTTCCACCTTCTGCAGGGGGATAGAGTGGTGCTCAGCATAGTAAAAACAGTGTACAGGGGAAAGGTTTGCTCCTATTATATGGCCTGCTGTCAGAATGGTGGTAAGAGTCCCCTAAATTTCACATACTCGGTGTTTTCTTCTCATCTTGAAAACGCCAACGCCCTAGGACTAGTGATAAATTACTGGTGGCCTGCAGGTCCCTCACTGGGAAGGTGCAGCACTGGACTGGAGATGAAGAGAGGCTAGGTTGGGCTTTCAGGGGTGCATGAAGAATGGA